CAATCCGGTCCTTTAGGGAAGAGTAGCTTCAATAAATATGAACAGAGGTTTAAATTCATGTCTGTATTCAAAATGACTGGAGACACACTCATAAATATTCTATTTTATATAAGAAGATGTCTCTTGTAATCAGAGTAATAACCACTGATGATTCAGATATATTTTAAATACTTGATTAAATATTTAATTTCTGCCAACAAATCCATTATGAATTATCCTCCTTAATGATACAAATTTATGCTTTTCAGGTTGATTATAATATATCACATTGAACTGGAAAGAAATTGAGCAAATATTTTGCACAGGTGAGAAAAGGCATTAAAACCACAGGACTTCTTCTTTTGGTTTCTGCAGAACAGGGACAATATTGCCTCCCACAGCTTTATCAAACAAAATATAGAAAAATCCCCACTTGTTCAAAAACATTTGAAGCAGGCAGAGCATTCTGGCTATTTCCACATAGTTTGGCTAAGTATTTCTTCTACATAGGTAATTCCTTTCAAAAGATCAGAATGCAATGAAATATATAATACCTAATTGATTACAATGAATCATTTTTTGATGAGGGAAGTTCAAACTCTTAAAATCCCTCAATTATCACTTTTTTCAGTTTCGTTGAAGTACTGACAAATAAAAGTGTACATAGTTAAGGTGTTCAACATGTTTTTATATCCATATACAGTGTGAAATGACTACTGCAATGAAATTAGCTAACATATCCATCATCTCATAGTTACTTTTTGTAGTGAGGACACTTAAAATGAACTCGCTTAGCACATTTCCAGTATACATACAGCACAGTATTATTAACTATAGTCACCATGCTGTGCATCTGATTCCCAGAATGTATTCATCCTCATAACTGAACTTTTGTACACTTGACCAACATCTCCCATGACCCCATTCCCTAGTCCCTGCCAAACACCTTTCTAAGCTCTACTTTTAAAAACTCAAACTTTTTAGATTCCACATATAAGAGATAGCATGGAGTATTTGCCTTTCGATGTCTGACTTACTTCACTTAGCACAGTGATCTCAAGGTTCATTCATATTGCTGCAAATGGTAAGATTTATCTTCTGTTTTGAGGTTGAATAATAGTTCATTATTCATTTTCTTCAGATATCCCTTCCTTTGGCTACATACCCAGAAATGGGGTGGTTGTATCAGATGGCAGGTCTATTTTTAAGTTTTTGAGGAACTTCCATTCTGTTTTCCATAATGGCTCTATTAATTCACACTAACAACATACCCGGGTTCCTTTTTCTCCACAACCTCACCAGTATTTGTTATCTGTCTTTTTTATACCAGTCATTCAAAGAGGTGTAAGAAAATATTTCATTGTGGGTTTGATTTGCATTTCCCTGATGATGAGTGATGTTGGCCATCTTTTCATATGCCTGTTGGCCATATGCTTGTGTTCTTCTGAAAATGTCTATTCAGGTCTTAGCTCACTTTCCATTCAGGTTGTTTTGCTACAGGAGTTCCTTGAGTTCCTTATATGTTTTGAATATTAAGTCCTTGTCATATATCTAATTTGCAGATATTCTCCACCCCCACTTCACAAGCTGCTTTTTTTCGCTCTTTTGATTATTTCCTTGGCTGTGCAGAAATTGTTTAGGTTGATACAATACCACTTGTCTATTTTTGCTTTTGTTGCCTGTTTTTGGTGTCATATCCATAAAAATCACTGCTCATACTAATGTCAGGAAATTTTCTCCCTTGTGTTTACACTGGGAAGTCTTACTCTTTACACTCTTACATTTAAATCTTCAATCTATTTAGGGTTGATTTTTAAAAATGGTATGAGACAGTGGCCTATTGTGTATCCTTGACACCCTTTGATTCCTGTCTCCTAACCTGCCCTGCTCGTGCTACTGGGAAGCATGCCCAATCCATATAACACCATACTATTTTTTGACCTGGCACCACCCCCTTTAGCATTGTTGATCACTCCTGCCAGAACCAATTTTCCAAGCCTATAGTTCCTCCTCCCATCCCCTGAGAGTATTACACGCATTTTAACAGTAGCTTTGGAATCGTCATTCTTTCCAGAATTGGGACTTAGATCCTAATATAGTCAATTTGTCAGGAGAAAGAAAAGCAGTCCAAAGACAGATTGGTAGTAGAGGAAATGCAATAAGGAGTTATCCTTGGCAAACCCCATTCATACTGGGTGGCCATCAACTTCACTTCCAGAGATCAGGCAGAGGGAAGTAGAATATGGAAGAAACTTCTCAAGCAATTTTATTAATGATCTTCCTACTGAAGAGAAAAAAGTGCTAGACTTCAATGATCCTTATTGTTGATATACACAGCCCTGTGTTATCAAATAATTATATCCCTTTTGCCTTCATGTTCCCCCTGTCAACCTAGGAAGTTTGGTGATAAATCATTTATTTGTATTTGAAAAACACCTTATCTTAGTAATAATAGGCAACAGCCTCGATATTGGAATCAAGAGGAATTTTAGGTTCTCTTGTTCTTGTAGAGCTAAACTGGGACAAATCACCAAATTTCTGGGTTTTTAAAAATGAAATGTTTAAGTATTATCATGTTAAGATTCCAATGAAAAAATTAACAAGGTCCTCACAAAATATGTCCTACACATAAATCATTATCCTGTTTCCACCCCAAATGGGATTAAATTTGCATCAACTCCCTCTCAGTCAGTCTCCCACTTCAAAAGCAACTTGTAACATTTATTTCTAAACAAGATGGCCTGAGTTAGGAATTCAGCTGGAATAAAGGTACAGTCCCTGAAAGGAGCAGGATGGATAGCTTTGGCCTAGCGATACCACACAAGAACAAGCAATCTGATTGTTGTCACACTTATAGTTCAAGAAGAAGTGGCTGAACTTTATGATACCTGAGTGGCTCCCTGATTGGTTTATGTTCAGTCATTTGATTCCCACTTGTGTAATGTTGTTAGATTATTAGACTTTAACAGTGGGATAAGTTCAGTGTTGTCAGGAATGAACAGGTGTTTCGCAGCTGGGAGCTTCCAGAGAGCTAAGGAGTAGAAATGAACCATGTTTTCTGAAATTAGTTCTGGTGATTCTGATATTGAAAAACATTACTCTGTAGATATAGAGAGTTTTTTCAAAAACAATAAAGAGCTCTTTGCAAATAGAGAATAGAACATATCATTGAAAAATTCAAAAGAAGAATATTGTTTAATTGTAGCTATTGATAAAAGCATATAGCATTCCACCTCTATTGTTAAAATTACATCTCTGCACACTGACAACTGGATCTGTAGTTTAAGGGATAACAATAATTATGACCATAGAGATTAATTACCCCAATCCATGTAAACAAAGAGAAAATAATGCCGTGCTTAACTTCAAATATTTCTGTCTGGCACCAGCTGGACTCAGTCAAACTGTAGAACCAAACTAAAATGGAGTCACTTCAGTCAGAAAAAAATGAGTTGGCTAAGGCATGTACACTAAAGAAAATTAAACCTAACCTTATTGACATTAGTAGTAAGAATTTATAGGTCTTTCCAGAATCAGAAGAAAACACCAGATATTTCCTAAATACCAAGTGTGTTAACATCATCTATGAACTTCCATGTTGCCCTGACTGAGCTACCCAGATCCAAATAACGAAGAACACTTAGAAAACCAAGAAGCTGAAAAAGTGAAATAATATCCACATCAACAGGGCAAGAGTCTCTTCATCTGTGGGGAACTCCTTGCTCCTATAGCCTTGAGTTTCCTGTATGTAGGTTGAAACCTTTGCAATAAGTTTAATTTCTGCTTTCCTTTACACTATGTGCAGTTTGGTTTTTGACACTCTAATCCTCATTGTTTGCTCTAAAGGTGAGAAGTGACACACTACTAAAGATAATTTTTATAGCACAATATACACTTAAATACTAAGTTTCAAATTACACTTCCAAAAGAATGGTAATAAATTGATGTATTGGCCAATGAAGACTGCTTGCCCACTGCTCCTGTTAGCACTACTTTTCCCACTTGCCTCAAGAAGCCTTGCATGAGGTATTTCTGCACCGAGTTTTACAGGGTTTAGTTTATAAAAATTGCTTCTTTCAGGCTTAGAGGTCTGTGATGAAGCTGTGTACTAAGAACCGACCACTTTGGACTTTTCACGCAATTACAACGGATGTTCTCTTAGGCAAGAACTTACTTTTGTGCTTCTGTGATCACGTGCTACAATGCCCATCCACAGCATAAGGCCCAATCCTTGTTATGTGTTAGTCTTTGGTGCCAAGCCTGAAGTGGGGGGGGGGGGGAAGCCTGAGGGAGGAGGGATTACAAGATCTTGGCCCTGAAGCCTCTTGGCTGATACATATACACCATGGAATATTACTCAGCAATCAAAAAAGATAAACTCATGCAATTTGTAGCAACGTGGATGGAGCTAGAAGGGATTATGCTCAGCAAAATAAGCCAGAAAGAAAAAGAAAAATACCAGATGGTCTCACTCTTGTGAGAAAGAGGCTCCCTCTCAGTGAAGAGAAGGAAAAAATATTAAGATATTGGAATGACACGAAGTGTTTCTCTTAAAGTAATTCCTAGGGGAAACCTTTGGGTGTCCCTTGGTCGCGTGCTAACATATTTACTTACATTTCCCTGGAAAGTCTTTCTAAGAATTTTTTTGAGGGAGATAGCTTCATCTGTACCTAAGTAGTGTCTGCTTTCCAAACGCCCTAGGAAAGCGCTTGCACAATCCTTTTCAAACTTCTTAGTCAAGTCACAATTCCCTCCTGCCTCTCCCTTCAAGGGAGCCCCGCCCCTTCAGCGGGAAGCCCCGCCCCTAGCTAGACCTGCGTAGAGCCCCGCCTCCTCTTCAGGTTTTCAGCCAATCCCGTCATCCCCACTGCCGTGCAGCAGAACTATCGCGAGACTCCAACTGCGGGCCTCCATTGTCTTTCACCGTGTGGACTTGCGCAGAAGCGACTCCTGAAGCCACTGCTGGAGAAAGAGGGCGGAGCGTCCTGACGTGCGCGTTCGCCTTGACCTCACGCTCCAGCGCGCACCCCGCCGCCGAGGGCTGTGGCTTCAGGGCCCCGCGGGAGCCCCGGCACAAACCTGCGTAAAGCGCGCGTGCCCACCCGGGCGGATGTTCGGTGGGTGGCGAGTGCTGGCCCAGGGTCTGCGGAGGCGCTAGGGGGCCCCGGGCCTGGGGACACAGCGGCTCTAGAGGCTGGGAGATACACTCCAGGTAGGCTCTCGGGTGATGGAGGGTCAGGGGTCAGAGGTCGGCACCACTGACGTTTCTGGACGGAGACGGAGCTCCTAGAGAAGGGGGCTCAGTTCTTGTGGAGCCCGGGAAGGTGAGGGGCCGAGAGGGGTCCGCGGCGAGGCTCCCCGTCGCTTCTCCATCCCGACGAGCGGGCCCTGAGGCGCCTCGGCTCCCCTCAGCGCAGCGGGCCGTGGGCCGCGGGCGGCGCTTCTCCCCGCGGGCCGGGGCCTGCTGTGTGGTTGGGGCGCCCCGGGGCTCTGGTGGCGCGCCGCCCCGCGCCGGGCCGACGGCCCCGCTCTGACCGCTGGTGAGTCTGTCCGGAGGATGTGAGTCTGTCCGGAATGATGTGTTGTCGCCCTTCGCCCGGGTACGCCCCTGGCTTCGCGGGGTGCAGCTCCCTGGCTTCGCGGGGCGCGGGCCTGGCACGGCGTGAAGGGGAGGCCGGAGCTGCAAAGTTAGACGGAAAGTTCTGAGTTACTTGGGAGTCAGGTGAATTGCGTTCGCGTTCCAAACATTGTACGTTTTGACTCCGTGGTCATTGCTGTGTTTTTTTAACGGAGATGTGTTCCCCGGTGATGAGCCGGGGCTGCTGTATGAGCATTGTGAAATAATGACCATGAAGGGGGTACCTTTTTTCTAAGTGACGACAATAGCCACCGGGTAGAAATCCTGCATGTCTGAATAATTTCTTAATGATGTTTAAATTAACTTAAGGCTTTAGCTGAGCAAAAGAAAATAATTTCTAAATAACGAGAATTTATCACTTTTCTGCTTTTTCTTTCCGCCCAGCCTAAAAGAACTTTTTTACAGAATTAAAACAAATCTTTTGTTAAAGAGTTCGGGCTAGAAAAATTGGGAGGAAACAGTCTGTTGGTGAAAAAGCTTATGAGGGTATTTTCCAGGTTTATGTCACTAACATATTTCAGTTTTCAGTGAATGAAAATTTTCTTACTTTGTTGGAATTACTGCGGGAAAGGACGGTTGTGGTGGTAATGCTAGGTCATTGAGAGCTTTTCAGTAATCGGTTGGGCCCCACTTGCATAAGGCTTGCCTTGGACAGCAATGTGGCAGATATATACTATTGTTAGTCTTCATAACCTGAAGCCAACTCTACCATGGATTCGTTGTAAATCAGAGTTTGTATGTCTTTTAATGAAGAGACGTGGTAATTTGGAGGGAAGAAAATCTGAATTTAATTTTAATATTCATGTGTTGTTTTAGTAACAACATTTTATGTTTAGTTTTCTAATGACTATCTTTGTTTTCTGTTGAAAATACAGTTCAGTAAGTTTTCTCTGTCTCATTCTAGGCCAGAAATAGTAAAGAATAGTTTCACATTATTTATAATCTTCCAGAATGTGGCTAAGAGAAATTGGTCCAAAAAGAAATGTCAGCAAAGCACCTTTGGGTCCTTAAAAAGAGGGTCGGTATTCCCGGAGCTAGGGATCTTTGTTTCACCTTATGTTATGTATTATTTCCATACTGACTCAGATCTGCTATTGGGGAGTACAGTGCTGAATAGGATATACTGTTCCTTCCCACCTGTCAAGTAGTTCTTAGTCAAACAGTTCAGAATGCTGTGACAGTTAGGATCAAGGAGAGGCCCATAACTCAGTATTCCTGCTCATAGAAGGTTTTAGGGGGAAGATTGAGTCATCACCAGAGAAGTGTGAAAGTGTGTTTCAAGCAAAAGTCTTTTTACATTTAAATGTGGGACAATAAAAGTGTGATCCATATAGAAAACTACAAGTAATCACATTTTATTCCAACACTGATATTTAAGAGGGGAGAAGTAGTAGAAACCTCAAAGGTGGAATTTATATGATGTCATGAAAACTATAGGAAGGATTTGAAATATAATTAGAGTTATATAGAATTTTACCAATAATTATTAGCAGCCAATTGACATTATGGTTATAAGTAGCTTTATTCAAATAGTATGTCTTTTGGTTCAAGGAGGTATCCTAGATAGAGTCAACCAGAATGAGTTTTTTGGATTTTGCTTTTAGACCATGTCTAGTAAAGAACTGGACAAAGGGAAAGCCTTGCTTGAAATCCTGGTATTTATTTTCCTCCAAGTTTAACTTATTGTTAATATTTTAAAGATTGATTGATTGATTGATTTATACAAGCACTGGGTACTGTCAGAAGCACAGGAGGGTGAGAGAATTCACCAGAGCCAGAGCAGGGAACAGAAAAGGCAGACTGACAAAGTACACTGCTGAGGGGAGCAGCAGGTGCAGCAGGAGAAGTCTGCCTTGCCAGCAGCCGGGGATCAAACTGGCGCTGCAGAGGCTGCGGGCAGCTTCGCAGCCCAGCGCTCAACCGCTGCACCACCGGGGAGGCCCCTTATTGTTAATATTAATACATATTTTGAGGCCGTAATGTTGGAAGAATCAGGATGGAAGCAAACTTCTGAAGAAATGTGCGCATTACAATAATACACATGATTTAAAGGACATTGGGTGACTCTTAACAGAAAAATAAATAGTTGAAGCTCTGTGCTCTGTTTCAGTAATATCTCTGTAAGCAAACAGTACATATTCTACTCACATTCCATTGGCTGGAACTGGCCATGTGACCAGTACAGATACAGCGCCAGTCGGGGTACCTTTCCTGCCCACACTGTATTTTAGGAGAGAAATGGATTTTAGTTGGCAACTGGCTATCCATAACAAGATTTCCCAAACTTGTCTGCACACTGGAATCTCCTAGGGAGGCTAAAAATAAAGGGGGCTGGTGTCTGGATCCTAGTCCCAGGGATTCTGGTTTAATTGACTGTGGTGGTACCTGGGCATCAGAATTTTTAAGAGTTCACCCACATAATTCTAACATGCAGTCAAGTTTAAAACACATTGTTCTATGGTGCCATCTTAAAGTTGGGTTATTGTAAAAGGTTGTTTAGCGTATGCTCAAGATGATGGTAACAACAGCTGTCACTTACTGAATAGATGCTAAATTTCTTTTGTTCTGCTGTTATATTTCCTGACCACAATTCTGCTATCATCCTAATTTGAGAAATGAGAAAACTGGCATGAGAGGTTAGATAACTCTTGCATTGCCACCCAGCTAGCAGAAGACAAAGCTTGAATTTATCTAGAAAAATACATGTTCACACCTATAAGTCACGAGGCTTTGCAGATATGAGACTATAACCAGTTCCTTGTTAGGCTTTTAGAGTTAGTGAGTCCATAATTACCAAGTTGTTAGTATTAGGGTTACTGTAATAAATTGAGTAACTGCTCCAGTTCCCTCCCCATCCCCTACCTCACTTTCATGCTCTTTGCCTTGAGGAGTTCCACTTTATAAAGAAGAATAGGGTATTTCCCTACCTTTTGCTTTTGAGTTCATTGATGTACTTGCTGTGGCCTGTGGAATCTTAGTGCTTTTGCCATTACCAGGCATTTTGAAAAATAGTTGTATGATTGGATTTGTACTCTCCCATCTCATCCATCATGGTAAGAACATTTCTGGGGTTATTTTGCTGGTCCCCGGAGGAGGTTAAGAACTACTTTAAGCAAAACCAACCTTTTCTCCAAAAACCTAATCTAGTTAACCTGTAGGTGTGTGAGAATAAAGAAATGATTATTGTCACAAACATTGAACTTTGGGTTGATGTGTTATACAACATATTTGTAATGATAGTTACCTAGTGATGTGGCAAAGCCTAACTTCTCAGAGTTCCAGCAGATTGACCCAATTCTGGTGTTCCACCCTGTGCCCTGAGAAGAACTAGACAAAGATGAACAGTCAGGCTATCAGGAACTTCTTATATTATTCTTCCAAGATAAGAAAGAAATTAAGTTATTTGAATTATTAGTTAAAAATAGACATTTATTGGTTATAGACTGCCGCCGCCTGCGTTCATAAACCAGGCATAGGCTAATGGATTGATATCTTTATGATTAACTAGTCTGACAGAGTTTGATAGACTTGTAATTATGTTTGTATTTGCCATATCCATTACAGTAGTCACTAGTCACATATAGCTTATGAGCATTTGACTTGTGGCTAGTGAGAATAAGGAGTTGAGTTTACAGTATTATTTAATTTTATTAGAGCTGAATAGCCACATGCAATTTATGGGACTGTACACATAGAAACAACATTGTCCTTTTAACTCAATAAAAGTTCTATCAGCAGGGAAGGGTGAGTAGATCTTAGGTAGGTAAGTAGTTTTACAGTAGTTTCTTGGTTATATGTCTATTCAGATTTTCTATTTCTCGGGCCAGTTTTCATTTATTCATTTATATTTTGTTAGACAGTTACACATTTTATCTCAGTTTTCAAGTTTATTAGAATAAATTTGCTATTAATATTCCCTTGTTTCTGTTTTTGCCTTTAAATCGGCTTTAAGGTATACATTTCATGTAATTCTGCACATTTAAATGTACAATTTGATAAATTTTGACAAATGTGTACAACAATGTAATCACTAGTAGCACATTTCTGTCAACCCAAACTTTCCCTTCTGCTCCTTTGTTGTCAATCACCTCATCCCACTTCTTGGCCCTGGTAACCACCAATCTGCTTTCTATCACTAGGTTTTTGTCTTTTCTAGGATTTCATGTAAATGAAATCATATAGTATGTAGTCTTTCAGCTATTCTTCTTTCACTTAGCATCATGATTAAACATTCATCCGTACTGTTGTATGCATCAGTTTATCAATTATTAGCATTCCATTTATCCATTCACTAGGTGAAGAACATTTCGGTTGCTTGACTTCAACTTATCCATGTTTTTACTTCTCAGAAAATAACAAGTGGAATTACTAGGGCAGTGTATATACAAAATCTGCAGAATTTTTCCATAGCATGTAATATATTAGAAATGTACCCTCAGTCTTAAATTTTTACTATTCTGTTTTGTATACAGTTTCTTATTGTGGTTTGTGGGTTTATTGCTTAAGTGATTGATGAGGATGAAGATATTTTCTTGCTTTTATTTTTCACTTATATGTCATCTGGTGAATCATCTGTTCAAAATTTTTGTCCATTTTTTAAAAACAAAGTTGTTTGGCTCCTGTTGATTTGGAGAGTTCTTTATGTATTCCGTATACAAATCCTTCATCAAGTATTTGTTTTAGTGGTGTTGTCTCCTATCACTCTGTGGTGAACTCACTCTCTCTCACTCACTCTCACACACACACACACACACACACACACACACCCACACACACCCCATGTACCTCTGGCTTACACCCCAGTTCTCACATGCATAACAAATTAAAAAAAAAAAAGAATGCAATAAGTTTCTGGTCACCTGAGATTTCCCCATGGTTTGGTTTGCTTTTAAATAGGACTGTGTATTCCTGAAGTGTTTCTCTCAAATACATTTCTCGTTCTTTCTTATATTTGGAACAGAGTAGTTAGGGATGGAGGGTTAGTAGGAATAGATGGCTGCAGACTACACTGTACCCAAGTAAGCATTCCTAGATATTTGAGAGATTATCCTTACTATTATTGCTACGCACTACATGTATTTTTAGAATTTATTTTATATAAAAATTATGGTTATTAAATTTATCCATTGAAGACCAATAAAATCATTAGAATTTGTATGATGCCATTTATGGTCAATGTGTTTTTTAACTTTATTTGTCTTAATTTTAAAAAAATTATCTGTTGCTTTATGTAGCTCTGAAGGTTTCATGTTACATGTAAGAACTTTCAGTTTATGCTGAATTTCCCATTCCCTCTTGGAATGTCTGCTATTTCATTTGTCTTCTAGAGTTCACATTTACCAGTCAAGAAAAGCTGAAAATGAGCAGCCGACGGAAGCGGGCTCCTCCGGTGAGAGTAGATGAAGAAAAGCAGCAGCAGCTTTGCTGGAATATGCATGAGGACAGAAGGAACGAACCTCTCACCCCAACCGAGCACGATCACCCCTGCCAAGGTTCAGACTCCTCTTCCCAGTGCCTCATTCTAGATGACAGTCTACAGGAAGAAGTGGCTCACATTGATAAGAAGAGGTGTGCAGAGGTGGTGGGCATCTCAAAATCACTTAGTAAAGAAGAAACTGGTAGCATTTTACCCCCTTTGACTGTAAAGCTGAATATTGTGATTTCTCCCCATCACTTTGATAGTTCTTGGAAAGCATTTCTAGGAGAATTAACTCTTCAGCTTCTTCCTGAACAGAGTTTAATTGAAAATATTTCTGAAAGGAGTTTCACTCTGATGAGTTCAGAGTCAAGCAATAAGTTTCTGATCTATGTTCATTCAGAAGGGGAAGATGTAGAGAAACAAGAAAAAGGACTCAAAGAGCCAATCAGTATTTGTGACAAAGGTATTGAAGTGGAATCATCCTTCAGTGGTGAAATGTTAGAAGATTTGGGGTGGCTGCAAAAGAAGAGAAGAATAAAACTTTGCCAAAAGCCAGAAGGCAGCCACATTATCAAGGTATTCATTTTCCTGAGTCTCTTCTCAAGTTCGTGAGATTTGCAATCCATTTTGAAGTTATCTTAGAAGTAAAAACTGAAAAGGAAGCAAGTTTCTCATTGTTTCAAAGTATAATTTATTTGGAGCCTTTAGAAACAGTTTAAAAATTTCTTATAGCTAACCAGTCCAGGCTCTCCTTTGCCCAGGCAATCTTGCTGAGTCCTTTTCCCAGCTGTATTCTCAAAGACTTGTTTGGCGCTCAGTGTCTTTTCCTCTTCTCATAGCAATCCTTTAACTGTTTCTCTGCTTGCCTTTACATCTCCTTCATCTACTTTGTCTCTGGAATAGCATAACTTAGTGCAGATACAACTCCATTGTTACTTCCTACAGAATTGCGTGTACTCTGTCCGCTTCTCCTGCTCTCTCCTTTGTCACCCTAGTTTTTACTTTGTCCCAGAAACTTCAAATTGATTTGTTTCCTGTATATCCTCTGCTGTATTTCTGCATCTTTCCTGTTGTTTTCACAGTTCCCTCTGTTTGGGTTTTTCCCTCTTCCCTGGTAACTCCGGGTCATTCTTTAAATTCAGTTCAGATTTTACTTCATCTAGGCAGATCTTTTCTTAAACCCCATGAATGGCGTTACATGTCCTTTCCTCATAATATCTGATGCAAATGTCTGTTTTTGCTTTGGTCACTTGTAGTCTTAAAATTTACATATCCCTCACTAGAGTAGACATTCATATCCAAGTAAAATTCCTGATACCAAACAATTTTTTTAAATAAATGAATAATATAATTCATTCCATGCTCTGTTTACTGGCCAAGTAACTTTATGTGAATCACTTAGATGTTCTAATTTTAGCTACTTTCTTATATGAAATTTTTTAAAAAAACCTGCTCTTCTGTCCTCGTACAACTTGTTAAGAAGCAGGTAGACAATTTAAATAAATGTACTTAATATGCCTTCTTGCTAAAACTTTAAAGAAAAGAAATTCTAAATGGTAACTTCACCTTTGTTCAATTAAAAATTATGTCTTAGTTCTTCCACATTAAAAAAAAATTACATGAATAGCCTTATTTATAGTTTCAGAATTGACAGAAAGAAATGAGAAAATTTAGAAACATTGGATTTTAATTCTCCCCTAAACAGTGAGATTGTGCAATCAAGCACTCCCTTCTTTGCTGATTGTGAGTGCCAAAATTGTGACTTTAAAAAAAAATATGTACAAATATATGGCTTATATATCTACGTTCTATCCACATTCCCCACACACCAAGTCTTGATATGTTCTGTTTTCCCTCATTCTAATTTTTATAAATACTGAAACATTTATTGCTACTATAGTAAGTCATCTCTGGGTGAACACAGGCAGGTTATAAATAATGATGAAATATAACCTTGTCACTTTTTCTTATATAATGCTGGTGAAAGAATATGAGAATCTCAGTGAGTAAGGAACAGGTCCAGGACAGTACAGGGAAGTAAGGAAAATTACATTTATTGAATGGCTTCTATTAGGAAATTTTAAAATTATATAATCAAGGCTATCTCAAGTTGACTTCTCTCCATTTGGCAAATGAGCATATTTGGATCAAAAGTAAATCCCTATATATTTAGCTCCTAAATATCATGCCAGTGTTCAAATTAAAGTATTTTGACTACAAAGTTTCATACTGCATTGATTCACCAGAATTACGATACCTCAATATTAATTAAGGCCTGTTTTTCTATATATTTTAGTATTTGATCTAGCAGAGTTCCTAGACCTAACTGTGCTTAAGAATCCTGGCATGGGCCTCCCTGGTGGTGCAGGGGTTAAAGTCTCAGCGCTATCAAGCTGTCACCAGCCACTGTGGCATGTGTTTAATCCCCAGCCAGGGAGGTGACCCACATGGCCCAGCAGACCTCTCCTGTCTGATCCACTGCTCCCCCCTCAGCAGTGTATTTCACTAGATCTGCCTGTTAATGCTCCCCACTCTGTCTCTGGTGAATCCTCTCACTCCACCTCCCAGACACACACCACCCCTCTGGCTTACACCCCAGTTCTTTTGTGCATAAATACATAAAAATAAATCTTTTTTTTTCCTTTTTTTAAAAAGAATCCTGGCATGTACATCAGAATCTTCTGGGAAAATTTGAATTTTTAACTGACTTCATTAGTTAATCTAATGCTCATCAAGTTTGGAAATCTTGTCTTGGTAAATAGAATTGATGTTCTGATCATATTTGTTTCTAGTTAAGAAATAATGGTTTTTTCTTGCAATTTGAATAGTGTATATAATAAACACTGCATTTGTGAGTAATTTATTACTATTGAAAGTAAAAATATGTGGAGTTTTAGTAGCTATGTGTTTGGTGTTTGTGGGGCAAATACTCTAAATATCTTTAAAAACAATGATGGTAAAATATGTTTTTTCATATCCTCCTGAAGAGTGATATAGCAATTGAAGCTATCTTTATGTTGGTTAATTCTTTGCAGGTTGGAATTTATCTTTTGGAAGGTGGCCTAGCAAAACTAGATTTTATGAGTGATGCAAATTCAAGAATGAAAAAGTTCAATCAACTTATGAAGAGAGTAATGGAAAAATTATACAATTTTATTATTCCAGGTAATTTTTAAAATAAACTTTAAAGTTATTATTTCAGAGTTATTACTTAGGAGTTTCACCCCAACTTCTGTACATAGCAACCAAAGAAACAGTTAATAAATTATAATAAAAATTAAACAACCTTCATGAAATTACTGTATGACAAATTATATGAAATTCCCGTACTAATTTGTTTTTTTATTTACTTAATACGGTGCTTAACTATAGTGGCACTCAAGATATGTTTGCTGAGTCAATAAGCAAAGACTAAAGGAACCTGAGCTTATTGCAATTTTTACATTTCTTTGCTTTTATTTTGTCGTGGCTGGATATTCTTGGCTGGCCTTTATTCAGTTTCTCCTTTGCAGTCTTGAGAAATAATGTCAAGAGCCTGCTTCCCATAAAGACCAGTTAACTTTGCTGTGTTTCTTGGAAGACATTGCACTTTTGGTCCGGACTGCAGTTTCAGAGTTGTCTGCTTTTGGTTCCCAAGGGAGAGTGTAGATGTCTTGATAAAGCCCACTAACACTTCTGAAAAAGCAGCTGAAATTCTCTAGATCCTGCTCATGTTGGGTCGGCACTGTGTCAGGTGCAAATTATAGAACATTTTCATACTGGAATATTTGAGAAATAAGTTTCTAAGCTTGATTATTTGTTTCTACAGTACATTCTTTGCAAAGCTTCATAAATACTACTAATGATAAATTATTTTGCACGTTAAAGACTTAGAAGGAGGAAAATCTCTGGTTTCAGAATTGATAGGAATGCTTTCAAGTACATATGAAATTTTTTAAGTTATGGTAAGAATTCCATTACTCCGCCCTTAAAATTAATCCAGTTCAAACTTTTCAAAGGAAAATCTCAAAGAATTTCAAAGGGAGGCTTCAAATTTAGTTGTCAGTACTAGATAATACAGTAATAGTGTGAAATAACTAGGCATATATCGTCACAATTGTAAAGTTTTGAAAATCTTACATGACATTTTTTATTTTAAAAAGTAAATTATGTATTTTGTGGCACAAGTTTTTTATTCTGGAGTGAATAAGATGTCCTCTTAAATGCCTGTCCTTTTTCAGCATAGGAAATAGAATGGAACCTTTGTCTTACTAGACAGAAAAATTATGTCTGCATGTGGATTTTATGTTAAGATATAGAAGTGAGATAAATTAACCTTTATAAACTGCAGAAGATACTCACATTCAGTTCCTGAAATGTTTATTAAATATCTGCAATGTACAAAGCAATTGCCAGCTGCTCTGAGGAGCTACAAAGAACAAGAGCCTCTGCCTTCAAAGAGCATTTCAGTCAAGTGGGTAAGGGACAGATTATACATAATGATTGCACTACCAGATTGCAGTGTATTGCTATATCCCAAGTATAAGATTTGCACACAGAGAGAACATTATTTCTTAGTAAAAGCAAAAGAAAATATCATGGAAAAAGTAGATACCTTGGATGGATGGATTTTCTGATGAGTGAAAAATTAAGGATAGGGCCTTCCAGACACAAAACACACAGAACAAGATACCAGAGTTGGGAGAGCTCAAGGTATGTTCCTGGGATGAGTATTGCTTGTAGTTGTAGAAGGTGAGTCAGATTGTTTTGAGCACATTTGTTGTTGGATGTACAGATGTGTCGGAAGAGGATGAGGAAGATTCAGAGAGTGAGCCAGAAGGACAGGACGTTGAAGAGCTCTATCACTTTGTGAAGCAGACGCACCAGCAAGAAACACAGCCCGTCCATGTGGACGTCCAGCACCCTGCACTGAATCCTGTGCTGAGACCATACCAGAGAGAGGCAGTTAGCTGGATGCTGCAGCAAGAGCAATTCAAGAGCGTTCCTGCTAGTGGCAAGTATAAAATGCTTAAAGAAAGACAAAATGATCAGAGGAATTGTATTAGCAACATTATGGCAGGAAATTGATCTTTCAACAAATCGTATTGAAAAGATTGATAGGATAAAATGGGTATTATGGTGACCAAAATTATTTTCTAAGAAATCCTTCAGAATTGAAATTTGACAAAATTCATCTGTGAGTTCTCTCATTCACGAAAGTTTGAACTGATTTTTCCTGCCCAGAAAAACAGGCTGCCTTAATTAAAATTTTTAAAAATTAAAAAATTGTAATATAACTTTCCAGTTAAGAACCCCAGTTCTTATATGTGTAAATCAGTAAATCTTAAAAAAAAAAAAAAAAGAAATATTTCTAGAAACTGATTAGATGGGAATCTTGCTAATCATCTTCAAGAGACATCACAATTTGATTATGAATGTTAGCAACAGGAAATAAATTTACCAAAGTGGTACCTTATCTCTGTTTTCTTAGATTTGTAGTTTGCTTCCTTTACCACACTAAATAAATAATAAAATAAAATGTCTGTCATCTATTAAGTATTTTCATGAAAGTAGCCTATTTACTCATTTATGCTGTTTCTTTATTACCATTTTTTAAACAGATGGACACAAAATGAGATATTATGTGATTCCATGAAGTGTTGATTTTTTTTTCTTTGTATATAGGTTTGATTTAGTTAGTGATTCATAGCTTTTGTTTTTCCCACTTGAAGTTTACACTTTTTTATCCAACAAACCTCATTTTTCTTTTTGTTTTGAAAAATAAACATCAATTCATAGCTAAAATTATTTCATTCCATCCCTTCTCCCTTAGTCTTGAGTTATTGGAAGCTGTCCCACATATCATATCATTTTCTCTGTTAATATTTCAGTTTTATTAGGAGATAAGGGTTTGTTTAAACAGACGTAAAGACGTGTAATAATGAATTTTAAACCAATAATGCCTTAACATCACCAGATGTCCCTTCCCTGTACCTTTCCCCTTCCTCTCTGCTCTGTGTTCTCTGTTCACACCTGAAACCAGATAGCCCTAAAATTAGTTACTGTCTCTTAAGTTTCTTTTAATCGCATTCATTCTGTTTTCTGTCTTATAATTTATTTGTTAAATAAATTGTTAGTTTCACATAGACTGGATTATTTTTCTTCATAATGAAATTTTTCAAAGTGGTTTTATTAAGGTGTAACACATGCAGTAAAATGCACAGATCATAAAACAGTTTAATATTTTTTAACAGATCTATGCATCTGTATTCAGCAACCCACTAGGACATAGTACTGGACCTGTCCAAAAGTGGCCAGCAAAAGTAACTACTAGCTAGCCACCATACATGCTTCATGATATATGAAATGTAGCTGTCCAAATTGTTATGTGCTACAACTTTAAAAAAAAATAGTAAAATATCTAATTAATAATTTATATTGATTGTATATTGATGATAATATTTTGGTTATATTGAGCTAAGTAAAATGTTAAGATTAATTTTTCCTTTTTCTCTTTTATATTTCTATTAGAGTGCCGACATAAAATATTTCCATCTATCCAGAAAATTCCCTCATGTCCCAATCAGTTCTCCTACCAACTTCTTCAGGAGGCAAGCACTGTCATCATAAATTAGTTTTGCCTATTTTTGAAACAATAAATGGAATGACAAAATATGTACACTGGGGTGTGGGGAAAGTTGACTTCTTTCAACATAATGTATGAGATTCATCTATGCTGCATGTATCAGTAGTTCCTATTTTTTTGTCCATAGACTAATAAGATTTTATTGATCAAACCTCCATGTGTTAGTAGTTCTGCCCTCTATGGTTCCCATAAATTGAAACTTTTTATTTTTTTTAATTTATTAATTCACCTAATAATCCCTGAAGAAGGCCACAAAAAATTATGTGCTGTTTCACTTGTTTACAGACAGACTTTCTGTTTGACAGTTCAAACAATTTAAAATATTACAGGGAGGGAGAGATAAAAGAAGATTCCGATCAAAACAAGCTCTGTACTTGTTTTTACTGTTAGAGTTTCAGATTTTTTTCCCTCTGTTAAGTAAGCCTTTCCTCCTACTCTCACACCCATGTAAAAGGTTAGATCTTTTAGGGTAAATGTACTAGCCCACTGGCATATGTCTTTTTAGTTAAAGACTTCAGGCATATTTTTGGAGATTTTATAAAATTAAAGTTAAACTGATTACTGGATAGGAGCTGGTTCTATATTAGTTTTCCTGTTAATCCTCTGTACTTTGCTTTTCTGACTTTATCACCTAGATGAAAAATATTTGTACCCAAAGCAAAGGAAACTAACAAATATTCTGAAGAAGAGACAAGGAAAAGCAGGATCCTAGTCTTGTCCTTGGTATCTGTGGTTCCCAGATATCCTGACAGATTATTTTTATGTGATTATTTGGCAGAAGGGAAAATAAACAAAAATTGGTTTATGTGCTTATATTTTTCTTTAGAAAATGCCCTGCACTTCTTATGGCGAGAGATTGTTACATCTGAGGGTTTGAAACTCTACTACAATCCATACACAGGCTGGTAAGGCAAAACTTCAAATGCTGGCATTGAAAATAAATACCTGAAACCCAAATGAGATTGGTAGCATGTCTTTGGTAGTACTTCAAGAAGGAATACCAAGTGAAAGTCTTGCTGGACATTTTTATGTTTTTAATATACTTGGATTAATAGCATTTTGTCAGTCGGTTTCAACCAATTAATGCAGTATACTAGATTTAAGATACATATAATTTAAAGAGATTATAATTCTGAGGAAGAATGTCATCTTATGGGTGAATTTTTACATTTTTCACTCAATTGTCAATTTCTAATATGAAAGAGTTTAGGAATCATTAAATATTCTTAGCTAATTAGCCGCTATTGCCCTTTTTATTCACAGATTCAGTGAGGTCACAGAAAGGAAGCAGACATGCTCCCTTTAAATATTAAAGAGAAAAAACAATGGGTAGTTATCAGTACCACTCATTTTTCTGCAGACTTAGCCATCAGCTCAGGCAGTATTTTGATTATCACATTTCTCATGTTTATGACCTTGAGATTTGAATTGTTTCGCCCTGAAACGTAGTTTCAAGAAACTGTAACCTTTATGCATTCCTACCAGTTCTCTTTAAGGACAGTATAATTTTCATTTGCATTCCTATTATGTATTTTTCTTGTTTTTTCTTTTAGCATCATCCGTGAGTACCCAAATGCTGGGCCACAGTTGCTTGGTGGAATCTTAGCAGATGAAATGGGTCTTGGAAAGACAGTGGAGGTTTTGGCTCTGATTCTGACACATACTCGACAAGATGTCAAACAAGATTCTCTCACTCTTCCTGAGGTATGAGGAGTACTGTGGGGCTGTAGGGCTGGAATAGCTGGGGACATATGTTCTCAAAAAAGCATCATATTTTGGACATTTGCTTGGCACTCAACACTTTCGGTTTACTCTGTAGCTAATGATTTGTATTAGTTAACTTCAAATAAGTACAGAGAATGGGATGTTTGTGACCCTGCAGGGTTTTTTTAAACTGCTGTTGGCCAATTTGAAAGGAGATGTGCTGTCACTCACCAAACTTCCTTCGAGTTGGCAAAGAAACTCCCTTAGAAAAATACTCTTGCTACCGCAATTGTTTTGTCACTACAAGTCTCCACAGTACCACTAAATATTTTTAAGGTACATATTTTTAGTTGTATAAATCTCAGATATATAAATCTTAGACTCTAATAATTAAAACTTTATTAAAGTATAGGTAGCATAGTGGGTTCCTAAATGAAACAAATTCATAAGCCCTTGTTCCAAAATATGTAATTTTTTTAGAAATAAAAATTCAGATTCCACCAAAAAAAAAAAAAAAAATTCCACTGAAGCAAATGTGGTTCCTAGCTCCTATTTTTCAATAATGAAATCTGAAATCAGCATATTAAATTCATGCTGAAATGAAGCCACTAATGAAGAATATAGCTGAGTTACCTGTAGGGTCACTACCCTCACAGCCTTCGTTCTTATGTGATCTTTCAATAGGGTCATATTTGCAAAAATTTGCCCTACCTATTTGACTAGTTAATGGAAAATGTGTGTTTCATTTGTAGGAAATGAGTTGACATATGCAGTTTTAACTGTTAGTAACTTCTATTTGCAATTTTCTAGTTATTCAATATTTTAATTCTAAGCTTTTATCAGCATTATTAGACATTTTGTGGGTTAATACTATATTTAAACAAACCTTAAAAAGTTAATTTTAAAATTTTCACACTTCATATTTAGGTAATTTAAGATAATATGCACAAATTACTGATATGCCCAGCTGAAAACTCAAACAAAATAAAAGTTTTTGTGTATACAAATGGCATAGATAGCCCTCTCATAATTTTGTTATGAGAGAGTGTAATTGTTTTATAACTTTATATTTCTTTTAGGTATGCGGCATAGTGCTTCAATACCTGTATGTATTGTGAAATGATCACCACAAATCTTAACATTCTTCACCTCACAGCTAAAATTTTTTTTCTAGAAATGTTAACTTTCAAAATTTTCTGTCTCAGCAACCTTCAAATACACAACATTATTACTAATTTCAGTCATTATGCTCTACATTAGAGCTCATGGTTCATTTATTTCATAACTGGAAGTTTGTACCAGTTAACCCCCTTATCCCAATTTAGTCATCTACTGCCCCACTCTTCTCGAGCTACCATCAGTCTGTTCTCCGTATCTATGAGTTTGGTTTTTGTTTTGTTTTTTGGAAGCTACATTCAAGTGAGAGGATGTGGTATTTGCCTTTCTCTGACTTATCTTAGTTACTATCATCCCCTAAAGGACCATCCTGTTGTTGCAAATGGCAAGATTTCTTTTTTCATTCTTGTACGTGTATCATAATATCTTTATCCATTCATCCAACATTGGACACTTAAATTGTCCTCGTATGTTGATTATTAAATACTCTGAAGTTGAATTGTTACATCATGTAGTATTTCTATTTTTAATTTTTTGAGGAACATCTGTACTGTTTTCTTTAGTGGCTGCACCAACTTACAGTTCCCACCTAGAGTTTGCTCTTCTCTCTGTCCTCGCAAACATATATTTCTTGTCTTTTTGACAGTAGCAATTCTAACAGGTGTGAGCTGATACCTCATCATGGTTTGATTTGATTTTCCCTGATAATAATGTTGAGCATCTTTTCAGGTACCTGTTTGCCATCTATGTGTTCATATTTTTTTTACAATTCTTTTAATAGAAAAAGGATTAATTTTAATTAGCAACTCCAAATACTGAGAACAAAACACTGTGTAACTACTGAATGCTGTTTTTATCAGGGAAAGGTGGTGAATTATTTCATTCCATCACATTGTTCTGGAGGAAAAGTGAAAAACACAGAAACTCAGAATATGGAATTTGAACCAAAAGAAAAAGTTCAGTGCCCTCGTAAGTATGAAATCTTTTGAAGATAATGCTTTTTATAATATCTTGTTATATTTCTTGTAATCCTTCAATAGTTACCTTTTTAGTTATTTTCCTCAGTGCACATTAAGATTCACTTGAATCTTACTTCTAATTTTAATTAGCTTATCCTTTTGCATTTAGCTACACGTGTGATGATCCTGACAGCCGTGAAAGAAATGAATGGGAAAAAAGGAGTTTCGATTCTTTCCATCTATAAGTATGTCAGTTCGATATATAGATATGATGTTCAGCGGAACAGGAGTCTTCTGAAACGGATGCTGAAATGTTTAATTTTTGAAGGTCTTGTGAAGCAGATCAAAGGCCACGGTTTTTCTGGGACTTTTACTTTGGGGAAGAACTACAAGGAAGAAGATATATATGATAAAACAAAAAAACAGGTAACAGCATTTATTAAGAAGCTTTATGTGATGAGAGGTGGCACTTTAGTTGTCAATGAAGTTCTTTATTTTGGGTCATTAAACAAAGATAAGAGTGCTCAGCACATAGTAAGTACTCAATACATATTTATTAAGAGAATTATGAAATTAACAAAACATCATAGAGTTGAAAATAACTTCTCTGTTTTCAAGTTACTGTCAGCAGTTAAAACGTTTGCTCCATACTTTAAAACTATTAATGATACTTCACATTTCCATAATTCTTTATATATACTTTGTATCTTTTATATACATTTTGTATCTTTTATATAAATTCTAATTTTTCTCATGTTAATCCTCTTATAAAATGTGTACATTTGGTTATAAAACTACTTCTTTGGTGCCAGTAATTTCAGTTGGCTTTTCTGAAAATAGTTACAAATTTGCAAACAAATCAAGAAGGGACTAAAGTTAGCAAGGGGCCTCCCTTCTGGCTCAGGCTGTTGAGCACCGCTCTGTGAAGCTGTCTGCAGCCTCTGCAGCGTGGGTTCAATCCCGGCTGGCTGGGTGAGAATCCCACATGGCGAAGCAGTCCTCTCCTGTCTTGCCCGCTGCTCCCCTCAGCAGTGGATTTTGTCAGTCTGCCTGTTCTGTTCCCTGCTCTGTCTCCAGTGAATCCTCTCACCCTCCCGTGCATCTGGCTTGTACCCCAGTTCTTATATAAAAATAAAATAAATCTTTAAAAAAAAAAGTTAGCAAGTCATTGTGGTGTTACTCTTTTTGCCACTGTTAAAGAAAGGGTAGATGAAAGGCTCATTTCCTAGATAAAATGTCTGCAACATTTTATCCCTCAGCCAGTACAGAAGACTACAATGAATTTTTATACTTTCAGTAATCCTTCCACCACCAAAAAAAGTAATCTCTTTTTTATAGTAAATTGGCATCAGTTACCTGTGTGTCTCTCAATGCTTCTATTCAATCTAAGCATTACTGTCACTTCTAGGCAGTTGTTGCTGGCTCCTACCTCCTTAGCATAGCCCCTCTCTGTTACATTCTTCCCATACATTCTTACATTGTTTTTATTCTCTATTTTCCAGTAGTCTACTTTGAGACTAGGTACTAAATATTCCTCATATTTTTGTCCCCAGCATCTAATATGATGCCTGCAATAGAACTGGCATTTAATAAATAATTGTAGGAGGAGACACAGATAAAGAGGAGAAGGAAAGAAGGAATTTAGTTGGTAATCACAGTGTCAAGTAGATTGACTTTCACCTTTTTTTCATGATAGCACAAAAAGTGAAAGACAGATTTCCGATGGTGTCACTCATCTGCAGGATGCAAATACCTGAAAAATAATTACACAAAAGCAATAGAAGAAATAAAATTTTGAACTCAACAAAAAAGAAGATAATGGTTGGCAGAGGGAATAGCAGAAAGGATGAAAGGGGTAGAGGAGGGAGAAAGGGTTATGAGCACCAGTAGTTTGGTAGAGGCAATTAAAAATAATAAAAAAGAGGAAAATGAAAGTTACCCATAATTCCACCACCTAAAAATATTAACTTTTTAAAAAATACTATGATGAAGTGACTAAAATATCATATAGAGAGTCTGAATTACTGGGTCAATTTTGGCATAACTGACAAGTAACTTGAAACTAGAAGTACCCAGATTCTTGATAGCATAGCAACTCCTTTCTCTGCAGCATCATTTCTTTTACAAAGCCAAAGACAAATACACCTTACAGGATAAGTTATGGCTGATATCTCAAATTGTTTGTTTTAAAATATCTGATATTTTAGTCATAGTCACTTTTGCCATCTTGATTTTAAGATTCTTTATATTTCCAATATAAAAATAAAATTTTTGCTCCTTTGCTAGTCAAAAATTATATCTATTTAAAGAGAAAAGTCTGAATCCATGTACACCATATTTTTATTATGTATTTTTTAAGTGCTATAATACTTGGTATTTTTATAATTGTCCTAGTGTGTGTGTGTGTGTGTGTGATAGCCATAAACTGTTAGTCCTTTATTGATTTAGACAGACTATAATTTATAAAAAGTTAAGATCAGAATATTGGTAGCTCCCTGTATCTTTCTAATTTTTTCTCTCTCCAGATCTTACTTACACAGCAGATCCTTCCTTTTCTGTGGAGAGGGTTCTTCATGAGGGCAGATTGAAAGCCACTGATGAGGAGTGATTCTCCTCAGGGAAAAGGGTAGCAAAGACTGGCCACTGGATTTTTATGTAAGCTGTATAAATAAAGTGGGAAACTTAAGTACAAAAATTAACTATTTTAAATAATATTTTTCATAGGCAGTGGGGAGTCCAAGAAAAATTCAGAGAGAATTAAGAAAATCAGAGAACAAGGACACTGATTCTGAATACTTGCCGTCAAATACCTCGGATGATGATGATGATCCTTATTACTATTATTATAAGGCGAGAAAAAATCGTATTAAATTGAGGAAAAAGCTTAGTCCATCCTCAAAAAAGGGAAAAAGCCAACCTAACATCAGTCTCCATTCACAAGATCACTGTCCAGCTACCAGTAACTCTGGAATCACTGACATCGCCACATCTGAAAGTGTACATGTCTTCGATGTCAAGCAAGAGCATGCAGCAGAGGACCAGGCTGTATCTCTAAACCCTGCTGGTACTGAGGTACCACATTGTAACATGAGCCCTTATGATTCCTCTGATTACCGGTTTGAGTGTATATGTGGTGAACTTGACCAGATTGACCGTAAGGCTCGTGTTCAGTGCTTGAAATGCCACCTGTGGCAGCATGCAAAATGTGTAAATTATGAAGAGAAGAATCTGACAATTAAACCTTTTTACTGCCCCCACTGCCTTGTTGCAATGGAGCCAGTATCAACAAGAGCAACTCTGATTATCTCCCCCAGCTCCATCTGTCATCAGTGGGTGGATGAAATCAACAGGCATGTGAGGTCATCATCTCTTCGTGTCTTGGTAAGGCAGTTTGAGCTCTATAAAAGGACAGAAGAATGTAATTTATGCTTCTCATGATAGTGTTTATTATCTTTATTGCTTTGTTTTTTATCCCCAAAGATTAACTTAGTGAGATAATATATTTACTCAGAACTTCAAAAAGAAATTAAGAAATAGAACAGTAGGCAGTGTATTTTTTTCTGGCATCAGAAGTCCAGAAATTAAAATACTTTGGGTAGAAAAATATGAATTTTGAAAAAAAATTCTTGATCATGTAAATGATCAAATCTTTTTATAAACATACATACTCATACTCAGAAATACAATCCAAAGACAACATTATGCAATAATTACCACTTGTCTGGTCTGCTCCATTCTGAATCCTAAAATCATAATCATAAGGTTCAGTTACCTCATCTATGAAATTAGAATTTACTCATTCAACAGATATTTATTGAGCACTTATTATGTGCCCATGATCATGCTAAGTTTTGAAAACAGAGCCCCCTCAGATCCTGACTTATTGTGAGGATTAGAAGATTTGGTAACGTGCCGGCACATAGTAGTCATTTGGTGCCATTGTTTACTATGTTAGTAGTACTGCTCGCCCTTCTGTTCCTCTTCCTTTCCACACATACTTTTTTGCAGGTTTTGTATATTTCAGTCACTGTCATAGGCATGATGAATACAGTAATAAGTAAACCATAGGCTTTGCCATTGAAGAGCTATGTTCCCTTGGGTTGGCAAACCTTGGTTTGAATCTTGGCTCTCCTGATTATGAGCAAGTTTCTTCATGTTGTGTATGGATGATATAGAAACATTAACTACCAACAGGATTGTTGAACAGAGGGGATAAAGTATAAGCACAGTGTCTGAAACAGAAAAGACATTCAATAAGTAATAGTTCTTCATGTTACACTTCATCATACTGTTGTATTTTGTACATGCCATAGATTTCATCTTTTCCCTATAAGTCCTTTTCTCCTTTTTTCTGCATGTGAGAAGGAATGTTCTTCAATATCCACTTCAATTTTAACTCAGCCATAGAATTGGTCTTTCCCTTGTGATGCTATCACATTTACTTCTGTGATAGTTCCTTTCATATTACTTATCTTACTAGTCTTCCTTACTAAAGCATGTCTCTCTCTAGACAGGTTGGAAGATACCTCATAAAATGGTCCTAGACAGTTAGAACAGACTTAATAAGGGGTAAAAGTGAATGAATATTTCAACAATCTTAGATCCCTTCCTGCAATAACTATGTCTGTGCTGATTATTTCCTAGGTATATCAAGGAGTGAAGAAAGATGGCTTTTTACAGCCTCATTTTTTAGCAGAACAGGATATAGTTATCATTACTTACGATGTCCTTCGTTCAGAACTAAATTACGTAGATATCCCACATAGCAATAGTGAGGACGGACGTCGCTTACGGAACCAGAAGCGCTACATGGCCATTCCCAGCCCTTTGGTTGCTGTGGAGTGGTGGAGAATCTGCCTGGATGAAGCTCAGATGGTTGAATGTCCTGCAGTGAAAGTGAGAATTTCTTGAGAATCTTTTGAGGATTGGGAAAGGAAAAAGGGATTGAGGGAAACTATCTTCAGAAAATGTAGTAGGTTGTTGGGCCTCCCTCGTGGCACAGGCAGTTGAGCGTAGTGCTGTGGGGCTGTCCGCAACCTCTGCAGCATGGGTTTGATCCCGGATGGAGAGATACCCACATGGCATGAAAGACCTCTCCTGTCTTGCCCGCTGCTCCCCTCAGCAGTGTTTTTCAGTCAGTCACTCTTGCTGTTCTGCTCCCCACTCTGTCTCTGGTGAATCCTCTCACCCTTCTGCACATCTGGCCTGTACCCTGGTTCTTGTATGCATGAATAAATAAAACTTTTAAAAAATATAAAGAAAGTGGGCCTCCCCGATGGTGCAGCAATTGAGCGCTGGGTTGCAAAGCTGCCCGCAGCCTCTGCAGCGCCGGTTGGATCCCCGGCCGCTGGTGAGGGTCCCACATGGCATGCAGATCTCCCTTGCCTCCCGCTGCTCCCCTCAGCAGTGTACTTCATCAATCTGCCTGTTCTGCTCCCTGCTCTGGCTCTGGTGAATTCCCTCACCCTCCCGCGCTTCTGACTGTACCCAGTCTTGTATAAATAAATAAATCTTAAAAAAAAAAAATATATATATATATATATATATATATATATATATATAGAAAGGGAAAAAAAGCATCTGACCTGAAGTGTAGCTTTTTATGGACTATTTTCATGAATAAACGTATTCCTGACTTCTGTATTTTTCCTTTTTATTTTCTTTTTTCACCATTATTTCACACTTCTCTCATCAGGCTGCAGAAATGGCTCAGCGCTTGAGTGGAATCAATCGCTGGTGTATCAGCGGCACTCCAGTGCAGAGAGGACTGGAGGGTAATGTGGCTTCCTCACATACTATGTATATATGAAAAGCTTAATTTCTTTTGAAGTAAAAGTATTGTTTGGTTTAACCTTTACTGAAATTCTCAGTTTAAGTGATCGTCCATGTATTCATAGTTGACTCCTAATAGTTTCAAACACTTACCTTTTTAAATGGAAATTGGATAATTTTTTTGTTTATGTGTGAGAAAACAGATACATAGTGAGTAGTCCTAAGTTGAGCAGTTATGGTCTGCCTAAGCAAGGCAGATGCAGGTCTGAACTGAACTCAGAATTTCAAAGTGCTAGGTAGAAAATAGAACCTGGGAAGAAAGGGAAGGGAGCGAGAGAAAGGATCATTTTAATTGACTGTGTTTACTAAAACAAGGACCATAATTTTGATGAATTGATAAATAGTAGAACTGTAATTTTACTAATTATAAGAGTTATGAAATATTAATGGCTTTATAATTTCCAACCATATAATTTCCAACCAATGATGGCTTATGCCATCATTCTGCCCTTCCTCTTGGGTATTTAAATTGTGTCCCTCCCACATGTACATTGTAGCTGATGCTTCTACATTACTCTCATTCATATTACCTTTTACATTACTCTCATTCATATTTTACCTTTTACATAGAGCAAGCAGTGTGTTTTTAAGACCTTTATACAAATTGTGCATATTTAAAGTAAAAGTTTAAATCAGTATTATTTTACATAACAAATTTCGTGATAAAAAAATTGCAGTATGGCATATATTAACAAAAAAGTGGCATATATTAACACTACAAATATTTGAAATTTGTAAACTTTTGACATGTATATACCTATGAATCTATTTCTACATTCATGATAATCCTCCCCAAAACTCTCCTCTTAGCTTCCATAGCCCTCACAACTTTTTAACACCATGATGTTTGCACTGTAACTGCTCAGTTTGTTGTCATTGCAGTGGGAATATTAGGCTGCCAGGGCTTACATGTTACATTTGTTTTCTTTTGTGTTAGAGTGCTGCTTTTTTAATTTAGCCCCATTGGCCTTTCAAACCAGGTTATTCTTTTTTGTTGGGAGGTATCTTTTGCATTTTAAAATGTTTAGCTTCTACCCACTGGCTCCCTGTACCTCCCTGCAGTTATGGTACCCACAGATACCTGTAGGCATTGTCCAGAGTCTCCTCCTGTCCATCTTAGTAAGAATCACTGCACTAGTCTGATGGACAGAAATCAGACTTTTTGATTTATTCATTAGTGACAACTTGGACATCTATGAATCCCAAATGGACCACATCTTAAGCAAGGAGAAATGAATCCAGAATATTTTCATTCCATACTTTGGAATGTTTCTTCAGGCAGACTGAAATCATGTCAGTGTATATGAAAAGCCAAATAGTCAAGAACATTACCCTCTCCTGCCCCACACACCCATGTCTACATGATATATTTGTTAGTAATGTGTACAGAACATTGGCTTTAGGGCATGAATGAACCTAGGTTCACACCCTGACTTAGTTAACAGGTCCATAAACAAGCTACTTGAACAAGCTACTTTCCTTACTTATAAAATGAGGTGTTTTCAAAGATTAATTATAATAAAGTAAGCAAAACATTTGGCGTAATATACCATTAACTATTCAGTGAATGGTAGCTGCTTTTACTGATACTTTCGTTGTTCCCCATTTATGTATTCATTTATTTATTTTAGTGTCTTTGTAAGTATACACTTATAAAGGATTTTTATAAGGATTTTTTTTGTTTGTTTTTCATTAAGAAACTGTGAGGAGCTATTGAAGAGATTGAAGTAAAGTGGTTTTAGGGATCATCTTGTATTTAGATTTGTAATTCAGAAGATCCCTAGTGTAGAGAATGGTTTAGAAGCTGGACAAAGAAGGTAGTTAGTTATCAAATGGTTGGTTTTAATAAGTAAACTCATTCTGGTACTTTGGATTTGGATTAGGGCTGTCCTGAGGTGATGGGTAAAAAAGTGGGTAAAGAAAAATGACCAAAGTTTAGTGATAGACCTGGAGATACTAAGACTTCTGATTTACGTAGCTCCATCTATGGTGGCAGTATTTGCCAGTGAACAGCATAGGAAAAAAGTATTTTGGTACAAAAATATGAATTTGATTTTGGCAAGTTGAATCTGAGACACCTTTGGGACCCCCCCCCCCCCCAAACAAGAAGTAGCAAAGAAGCAATTGGATTTATTTGAGCAGAATATAAATGTATGGCTATCTGCATTTAGGTGATGTTTCTTTCTGATGTCACTCTCAAGGACCATCACAATAACTTAACTCAACCTCTATTTGTTAGTCATCTTCAAAATAAATGTAGGTAGGATGATGGCATATTTTTTTAATGAGAATACAGAAAAATAAAAGGAAATTAAACTCAGCTATTATGTTATATAAGATTATAACCACTATTCCAGAATTTTCTATATGGATGTTAGCAATTGTCCATATTTTAAAATTTTATCATAAATAAATGGAAAACTGCTTAGGGTATAATGTTAAGTGGACCAAAGAAAAGAATATAAAACTGACTGTGCCCAGTCAAGAGATATCTGAGTACCATGCTCTAAATCTAACAACAATTAGACAAGACCTACTGGATCAGGGGAAAAGGTTGTCTGATTGAGGATGGAGGTGGGGCAAGGAACCATAATTTCTTTAATCACTTTTATTAAAATCATTTTTTCCTGCATATTACTGTAAACCTCTCTAGTTGGGTAATCTTGTCTCTGCTTTTTATTGTCACATGCTTGCAGAAGTAGAATTACTAGTTCAAGGGGTATGATGAATAATAGCATCAGAAAACATTCTCCTATTGCCTGATTAGATTTTTTTTTCCTAATCCACCAGTCATATATTCATTAGTTTCTGTGCATGACACTTCTTATATCTCTTGATCAAGTACACTCAGTTGAGTAGTTTTTAATGGTTTTACTTCCAATGGAATTTTAAGAGTTTTGAAGTAAGCTCAAGCTTTGTGCAGTGTTTTTATAAACTTTAAAACATTTTAGCCCCTGGCACAAAACCTAGAGCAAAACAAATACTTAAAAAATGTAAGTTGAATTGGAATTTCAGATTCCAGAGCCTGAGTGCTGAGTAATATTTATTAAAGTAGTTATTCAGAATGCTAATGTGCTATAGATAGGAAGTTATTCTCAATGTGCTTCTTTTTTTGTTTCAGATCTTTTCGGTTTAGTGGTCTTTCTTGGTATCGAACCTTACTGTGTGAAACATTGGTGGGTTCGACTTCTCTATCGCCCTTACTGCAAGAGGAATCCTCAGCACCTCTATAGTTTTATTGCCAAGATACTGTGGAGGTCTGCAAAGAAGGATGTAATTGATCAAGTCAGTAGAATATGTTTTTATTGATTAAGAAAAAAGAAGCAGAGTTGATGTGAAAAACTAAATTTCCCGGTGAAATATTTTTTTTTCTCCTTTGTGCAGATTCAGATACCCCCTCAGACAGAAGAAATTCACTGGCTGCACTTTTCTCCAGTGGAGAGACATTTTTATCACCGTCAGCATGAGGTGTGCTGCCAGGACGCAGTAGTCAAACTCAGGAAAATTTCGGATTGGGCCCTGAAACTCAGCAGCCTGGACAGAAGGACTGTCACCTCCATCTTGTATCCGTTGCTGAGGCTCAGGCAGGCCTGCTGCCACCCACAGGCTGTTCGTGGCGAGTTCTTGCCACTCCAGAAAAGGTTTTATTCATTATTTCCTTATACTGCAATTTGTAATATAGTAGTAGTAGACAATATTTAAGCTATTAGCTTCTCTGACTACAGTTTCATTCAGGTTCTTGTAACTGAGTTGTTAATTTTTTCTGTGAGTTACTTTTTCTCTGATATAAAATCCCATTTGTTAAAGAGGGTCAATATAATCAAAAGTGTTTTCATAGTTTTGAACATTTCTTTTAAATAAAGGACAATTGTGGGGTTTTGTTCCTTATTGGCAGGGTCTGGGTGTGGAGGGGGTGCTCTACAGATATGAAAGATTTTTGTTCTTACAGTTTTGGGTACCCACTTCAGGGAATTAAATGAATTAGATATTATTTAATATTTTCTTTACCGTTGTCCTAATTATATCTCTTTGATTACTGTTTCCTAAAACATTAAGGTATGTATATCCATAATACTCTATAGCCCCAAAAATAATCCCACAAAAAAAATTTTTGTGCTTCTATTTTTTTTTAGCACCTGTTATTAAAAAGGTGCTATAAAAAACACAAAAGAATTCAGTTTTGCCCTTGTGTTAAGCAGTTTAATGACAAATAAGGGGATGACCAAGATTACAGATTTTAAGAGTGTGAAAACAATTTCTATGCAAATGGTTAAGGTTACACAGCCTACTTTGTAGAAATGCACTCGACATGATCCTTAGAGAATCATCTTTGTTTACAGATTGAAAAATCAAGGCATATGTAGGTTAATTAAATTACAATACAGGAGTTCTGCCTTTATCTTACATTCTAACTCATATATCATTTTGTACTCTAAAAGGAAAGTAATTTTTTCTAGTTCCATTCTCCATTGAATGAAAAGGGAAAAAGTATGATGTAATTCGATAGAACATGCTTGCTAGAGTAGTAAAAGGTAATTAAGTTAAAAGTGGTATAGGTAAAATGGAGGTGAAGAGAAAGATGCTAAGATACTACAAAGACTGTTAGTTTGATACTCTGGATCTTAAGTGACATAATACTCTTTCTGGAATAACACAGGATTTTCTTTCTAGTTCTGAACAATCTGTCTTTTCTTTTAGCACCATGACCATGGAAGAGCTGCTGACATCGTTACAAAAGAAATGTGGAACTGAATGTGAAGAAGCACATCGGCAATTAGTTTGTGCTCTCAATGGCTTAGCAGGCATCCACATCATTAAAGGTAGAAGGTGATTGCTTTGTTGTCTCTGATTCTTTCCATACATAATAAGGAAGGTTAGTTATAGTAGAAGTCAAAATCCCCCAAGAAAGACACACACTGTTGATCATGGTTTAATGGGCTTAACTTCAGAAAGTAATTCTGCAGAATACTGTAAAAATTTCAAAGTCTATAGACACTTTCACCAGACATTTCCACTAATGGAAGATTTTTTTAGGGAAATTGGGATGTGAATAAAGATTTAGCTATGTTCTGTAGCTCCAGTGGAGTTAAATAAGATATCAAGCAAATATTAGACATCAAAAAGAAAACAGATATAATTTTGAATGAAAGTGGTGAGGGGCATTCGTGATTTGTTTGTGATCTTAAAGGGACACCATAACAGAATAACAGGTGCAGAATTTTTTTAAAAAATTAAACAATCCAGCAATATATAGAAAGGATAGTGCATTATGATCAAGTAGGGTTTATCCCAGGAATACAAGATTGGTTTAATATTAAAAAATCAAATATTACATACTTTACCAAATAACAACTGAAAAAGAAAAACCATTTGATCATCTCAATAAATGTAAGAAAAAGATTTTACAAAATTTTAACATTCTTCATAAAAACATTTAGCTATTTAGGTATCATTGGAAACTCTCACTTTGATAAAAGACATCTATAAAAACACAGCTAATGTTATGCTTAATGATTGAAAACTAAATGCTGTCCCTTTAAGATCACAAACAAATCACGAATGCCCCTCACCACTTTCATTCAAAATTATATCTGAATTCTCACCAGAGCAGTGAGGCAAGAAAAAGTTATGAGATTGAATATGAAAAAAAACTCTTTAATTTTGGATTATAATTATGTGGGAAAGTTACTAGAACCAATAAGTTGGGTATTGCACGGTACAGGATATGAGTAAATATATAAAAATTATTTTATTCCTATGAGGTAGAAATAAACAATTAGAAACCATAGTACCATTCATAGTTTCAAAAGTATATGAAATACCTTGGCATTAATTTGGAAAAATGATGTCTAATTAACACCTGTTAAAAAAAAAAAAAAAAACCTGCAGTGTTGCTGAGAGAAAGAATTCATAGTTGTGCATGTTCATGGAGCAGAAGACTCATTATTATGGTGCTGAATTATCTCAAATTAGGCAAAAAATGGGAAATTATATGTCATAAGTTCTCACAGTTCCAACTTAATTTGAGCAAAATAATTATGATTAAAATCTCCAGAACACTTGACTATCACAGTTAAGAAATATGTATGCTAAATCTTAAAAATTCATGAATCATTGAATGTACTATTTAAAATATTTTAGGTCATTAAAATTTAGCATATCTGAAAAATAATTTTTCTATAAACATTTTATGTTATGCATAACGCTTTCAGTACCTGTTTTATCCTCATAATCACCCAGTGATTGAGTTATTAACATCCCCATTTTATGTAGGAAAACTGGATTTCAGAAGACTTACTTTCTCAAGATTACAACTAATAAGTCACAGAGAATTTGCCCTGTATTTAATTTCAAATCAAATATTTAATTTTTCTGCTATACTGTCTACTTCTTAAATAGACATTTATAAGCCTCATTATTATGCCTCTAATAAGTTGACACTCACTTGTCAAAAATTTCTAAAATAGTATAATATATTATTTATAGATTCTCTTAGAATCACAGTAAAAATTTTAGATTTTCCATCTTGAATCTAAAATTGTATTCCCCATTTCATTCCATACTTGTTACTAATCAGAAGCTGAGACAGTGTGAATGAACTTTCTCTCTTGGCCTTTTTTTCTAGTCTCCTTTTCAGATTTACTGTCACCTTTCCCTGCTGTGATGTTATGCTTGATAAGGGATTGGGAAAATCATCTGATCACTTTCAAACACTGTTGCACTCTAGTAGGAACAGTTTGTAGTTGGCTCCTGTTGTGATAAAATACCACACTGTGGCATTAATGGATCACTGGCCTTTTCAGATAGTTTGCTCTGAATTCCCACCATAGTTGTCTGTCTTTTTAATGGAAAGAAAAATTCCTATTAGGAAATCCATTGGTAGAGGATATGTCTAGTTGGAACTTAATTGTAAAAGTAATACAGTTACATTAGCTTTACTGCTTTTATTCCTGTTGAACAGTTTCCACTTTTTAAAGTAGCAATTAATGTACATAATTTAAACTCAGTGAGTGTAGAAATCAGTCTCTGATGATCTGACTTCTAAAATATAAAATTAGTTTCAAACTCTAAAGGGATTTGCTTACATAATATGCAAATGTATCTATGATATACATCCCATGTTCTAAATTCCTTACCGGTAATAGCATTAAAACATGGTGTTATTCCCAATTTGAGCAATATATATTTTACATACATATTTTGAAGAATATTAGCTTTGCAGCATCAAATTCATTATGATTTGTTTACTTTGCCATCAAATGGCAAAGAATGGGTATTTCCCAATTTAACTTAAACTTGATTAACTTACTGAGTGTGCATAATTTTTAGTCTCCCCAGAAAATACCTTTTTTTAAATGGACTAAAGAGAAATAGGTATAATGAATAATTACAACTAGTTTTTTATATTACAGTCTAGTCATTGTACTTCCTTTAAAAGGTATGGTAATTATGAAGGGAGATTTGTTAAATGAATTGTTCTCTGTGAATGATAGTATAAATACTAATAGAATCCATGTCTTTTGAAAAGTATTAGAAGATTCTTTAAAACTAAAAATAAGGAGTTCATTGTATAAATATAACTGAGTATTGCTCATTAACATTATAATGTCACTATTATTTTGGAAATAATCTCCTTTATCAAAGTGAGTAGAAATTGCTGACTAAGTACTGTGAAAATGTTTTAGAAGCCTTTGTTTTAGTTAAGTGGTGGATTTAGATATCAAACAATGGTAGAAAAGCAAGTATTTTGCACAACATGAATGAGCTTATTATCACTGAACTGGACACTTAAAAATAGTTCAAATGGTAGATCTTATGTTAATTATATTTTACTACAGTTAAGACAAATACATATTTATATATATAATCAGTTTTAACCAAAAAAAGAGAACCAACAACAAAATTTACAAATGCTGTGGGGGGGGATGGGCGGGGGCAGGAATTTATTGCTCATTTTAGTCTATGAACAAAGTCCTGCATCTGCAATAGTAATAAAAATAGTTTGAAATTTAAAAAAAAAAACTTCAAGTGTAGATCAGGCAAAAAGCTTTCTCAGTAACGGCATGTCTATACATTTTTTTTAATTTCATGAGTTTACCTCTGATAGACTTTTCATTGTATTTCTATTTTTTTTTAAGATTTATTTATTTATGCATACAAGAGCTGGGGTACAGGCCAGAAGTGAGGGGGGTGAGAGGATTCACCAGAGATAGAGTGGGGAACAGAACAGGCAGATTGACTGAAGTACACTGCTGAGGGGAGCAGTGGTCGAGGCAGAAGAGGTCTGCTGCACCATGTGGGTTTCTCCCTGGCCGGCGGACATCAAACTTGTGCTGCAGAGGCTGTGGGTTGCTTCATAGTGCAATGCTTAAAGACCCCTGTGCCACCAGGTAGGCCCTCATTGTATTTCTAAATAAGCAGTTTTGAGCTTTTCCCTAGGAAGCAAATAGTTGGTTCTGTTATTCAAGCCACTGAAAATATTTCATCTCTCCTTTTTCTGAAAGAAGCAGATAATAAATATTTTAAGTTTTATGAGCCATAAGATCCGTTACAATTACTCAGCTTTGTTCTTATAATGCATAAACAAATGAGCACAACTGAGTTCCAATAAAACTTTATTCACAGACCCTGAAATTTAATTTTATATAATTTTCACGTCACAAAATATTGGTTTTTTTTCAACTATTTAAAAATGCAAATCCTCTTAGTTGTGTCCAAAATAATAGTGACATTATAATGTTAATGAGCAATACTCAGTTATATTTATGCAATGAGCTCCTTATTTTTAGTTTTAAAGATTCTTGTAAAGCTTTTCAAAAGACATGTATTCTGTTAGTATTTATACACAATTGCATATGGTCATATAGGACCCATGGCCATAGTTTGCCAATCTGTGCTTTAAATAATTACCTACTGATTTTTTTCATTAGAGTAAACTGCTAATTAGAACTATAAAAATAACATAAATTTCAGATTGTGATTTATATGACCAAAAATGGAAAAGATTCCCCAAGTTTTTGTAGTTTTCAGTTGCTGTTCTTTTTGTTCTAATACCAAGAACAGTAATACCCAGCAAGAAGAATATTTTCTTTTTCTGAAAATTATGTGTCGATTGGTCATATGTTTTGAGTATTTGTTGAGTATATGTAACTAAAATTACCCAAATTGTTGAGTATATTACCCAAATTTGTCCTTAAATTCAGACATCATAATAACTATACTTGGTATAGTATAGTTCAATAAGAAGAGTCAACTGTATAAATTCAGTTAATCCAGAGTTTGTTTTTTAGTGTAATTTTAAAACATTGTAAATATATTTAATTGATAATCAGTTCTGTGGAATTAACCAAAAAAGAAACTATCATTAGCTTTAATTTTCTGGGACAATCATTTGTACCATCTCAAATTCCTTTTAAAAAATACTGATTTGTAATCATTGTTACAATTTTGCAGTGGACATGTTTAGGTGAGAGATTTGTGGATGACACTGAGAGCTAACTACATTATTTTATTGTAATTTAAATGCATTTTATTTCTTCAGGGGAGTATGCCTTGGCAGCAGAACTATACAGAGAAGTGTTGCGTTCATCTGAGGAACACAAAGAAAAACTCAAAACTGATTCACTTCAAGTAAGTAAAATCTTAACAATTTTAGTATATATTTTGTCAATTTTGTACAGAAAATTTTTCCTGAATGTTTAAGAGGATCTGATTTGATGCCAAACAGAACAACCTTTATAGTCTCATTTCACTAGCATCAAATCAGATCCTCACAGGACTATTTCTCAATCATCCTTTAGCTTTTATCTGTCTTCCCAAGTAAATAGTCAAGTTATCAGGTAAAAATTACTCTTAACTTTATGTCTTCTCGCTCTTGAGAGTATGGATGGAACCTCTAATCAACTGTGGAGTCATTATCACAGTGAGAAGGCTGAATTATGTTTAATGCAGATATATAAAATATAGATTTCCCCTCCTTGCACCATATTTACCTCCAATTCTTTTGCTTTTCTTTCAGCCCTTAAGTTCAACAGACCCAGATCACAAACCAGTTTCTCATACATTTCATTTTCCTTACTTTTATTATAATTGCTAAGCTTATCTAGACTGATTTCCCAAGAGAAGTCTTCTAGAGTCAACCTTACTATTTTATTGAACTTATTTAGAATACTTACAGTTCATTCTGTAGACAAATGATGGCTATTAGAAGACATAGCTATATTACATATTCTGCTAACTACATAGACATATTTTAAATTTTTATGTTCTTCAAACAACTTCATAAGATCGCATTTTTTTTAAAAGATTTATTTTTAGGGTCTCCCTGGTGGCGCAGGGGCACGGTAGCCTGAGTTTGATCCCCAGCCACCCAGGGAGCAACCCACATGGCAGCAGACCTCCTGAGTAACCTGCTACTCCCCTCAGCAGTGTATTTCAGTAGATCTGCCTGTTCTGCTCATCACTCTGGCTCTGGTAAATTCTCACACACCCCACCCCTCCTCCCCCCCCACCAGCCTGCACCCCAGTTTTTATATGCATAAATAAAAATAAATGTGTTTTTTAAAGATGTATTTATTTATGCATACAAGAATAGGGTATAAGCCAGAGGTGCAAGTGGTGAGAGGATTCACCAGAGAGAGTGGGCAGCAGAACTGGCAGATCTACTGAAATACACTGCTGAGGGGAGCAGCGGGCGGGCAAGGCAGGAGAGGTCTGTTGCGCCATGTGGGTTAGCTTCCTGGCTGGGGATTGAATTCATGCCATGGCTAGCGATAGCTTGATAATCCTGAGACTTTATCCCCTGTACCACCAGAGAGGCCCCCAAAATCGCCTGTTTTTAAATTGAAGAAAATTTATGTTATTTTGAATTAAGATCTTTACTATGAAACTGACTTTGGCGTTCTCTGATAAATTGCTTTAGAGGGGAGGTATCGAGTGCCCTGATCTCAAAATGTTGTTAGTAGTCTGTATGCCAATGTTAATAGAAAGTTCTTTTATAAAGCCCACTGCATTAACTATCATAATTACTGCCTTTTGTGGTTTATAGAGACTTCATGCTACCCATAACTTGATGGAATTATTGGTAGCTAAGCATCCAGGAATACCTCCTACCTTGAGAGATAGCAGACTTGAGGAAGAGGTAATTAATGTTTTTTTTCTGTCTGTTAAAAGTACATTTTTTTCAGACTCGATGATCATTTTAATTGCTACTTCCTAGGACATATAACATTTATATGAAGGTAACTATGTTTTCCTGCCCCTTTGACAATCCGGACTTTACTGTGGTAATTTTGGGTAGTACAAAATGGCAATACTCCATATTATTTTGCTTCTCTGATGATTTGCCTCTAGTCATATGCTAACTACTTAGTTCTAGATGTTACTAATACAATAGCACGGAATTTAAATAAACAACAAATAAAAATGGAGACCTTATTGCTCTCATGGCAAATCTGAAAACGTTAATAGTCTAAGATTAATAAAAAATAAAATATTTTGTACTTTTTTGCCTTTCTGCATATTACTTCAATACACTAGAGTTTTCAGTGATATTTCTTATGTCTTCTCAAGGAAGTTCCCTCTCCAGTGAGTGTTACCTCTCATAGAAGTGATGTAAATTATTTCACCTTAAACTGTTAATAGCGTATTATGCTAATCCCCTATGGAACTTTAAATTTTTAAAGATCAAAAAGAGCAGCAAAGCTAGAATCAAAAAAGTAGATAATGTTTGAAATGTGTTAAAGCCATTAAGTGAAGACTTCATTTGAATCAAAGAAGATTGTGTAAGTATGCACAGCCTTTGACTGCATCCTGTTCTTGATGTTCAATGGCAGTCTAAGTGTTAGAAGTTTCCTAGTGAAACTTCACTCCAAATGTAGGCATCACAGCCTTGCATGTAATATCACTATTTAATTCCTGTTAGTGACAGAAACTTGCTGAGAGACAGTCCATCTATGAGTAGACAACTCTAATGATCAGTTATAACCAAATAATTCTAATAGAAATTAATGAGAAGATTGTGATGACAAAAGAAAAAACACAGTATGTGGATGAGGGTTCATACTAGATACGTGTATTTCCAAGGCCACATTATCACTTTTGCCTAACTTTTATAGACTGTGAAGCCACACTGTTCAAAGTTGGACCAGATCCTAGAAAGCATCTACTTCAACCACCTACTTTGTAAATGAAGTAACAAAAGCCTGGGGGAGTGATAAGGGTAGTACAAAGATAGGTATGTGGTTAATTGGGCCTTATGAAATTGTCATCTCTCTTGGTCAAATATGATGAATTATTGATAATTTCGTATGTCTCAACCAATTACTTAATGGAAGCATTTGGCTATCTAGTTCAGTCTCATTAAGGGTTATAGCTTCACCATAATGGATTTTGGGGAAACATGGTCCATGACACTTGTGTCACTGTATATTCTTAAGTATTTTTAAACTGAAGTAAGTCCAAGAAGCTATAGTAGCTAAGTCAGATAGATCTTGAAAGGTATCCTTGCTTTGCTTGATTAAAAAGTAAAATAGAACTTTACTTTTTACCCATTTGGTTTTGGGTTTTTTTTTTTTTTTTTTTCCTTTCTCTTAGTTAAAAGCTAGTTAGATTACAATTTGGAGAGCAAACCTATGGATTTTCTTAAATATTGTGAATTACAGGTAAAATTCATTCTCTGTAGTATATCTTAGACTATCTAGCTTGGCTGTTAGGCTCGCCACAGTGTACTTGTAGCATTTTATGCATATTGGGTTAAGTAGCCTTAAATATATAAAATGACCCCATTGTCCATGAAATGTCATACTGAATTATTTTCTAGACCTGTAATGAAAGTTTACATTTGTCCGGTCTCAACACAGGCCAAGCAACTGCGAGAGCATTATATGAGCAAGTGTAATACGGAAGTTGCTGAAGCACAGCAAGCGCTACAGCCTGTGCAGCAGACCATCCGTGAACTGCAAAGAAAGGTATGTCCCTAAAATGACTTTCCTACTTGTGTTTTTCTCCTGATAGCATTTTGGATTTCATTTTGGTTTGGGCAGAAATTTACGCTTTCTTTTCATCTTGAAGTTTTTAGCACCAATGCAGTGCCTGACCCACAATAAAAGTTAATTTGCTGGCCTCCCTGGTGGTGCTGTCAAGCTGTCGCCAGCCACTGCAGCACAAGTTCAATCCCCGGCCAATCAGGGAGAAACCCACATGGGACAGCAGACCTCTCCTGCCTCGCCCGCTGATCCCCTCAGCATTGTATTTCAGTAGATCTGCCTGTTCTGCTCCCCACTTTCTCTGATGAATCCTCTCAGCCCCCACACCTCTTGCTTATACCCCAGTTCTTGTATGCATAAATAAAAAAATCTTAAAAAACGTTAATTTGCTGTTAGCAGTTCTTGTGGAGTGAATGAACGCATGTATAGATAAACCAACTGTTCTAAGGTTATTCCCCATTTTTTAAACTATAATACATTTCCTCATACTTTGAATACATAACAAGTTGTCTTGTTTAAAGAAACTGAAAATTTCTATAACCTTCTTTTGATTTTACATGTATATGTTTCTAAAACCTTTTAAGATGTGAAAACGTTAAAATCACTTGGTTTTTATCTTACGGATTACATGCCATTTGTCATAATGTAGACATAATCTTCTATTTTAGCCATTTATTCCACATTTCTCTCCAAAATTCATTAGTGGTTGGTATTCAGGCAAATAATTTTGTTCTTTGATATAGATAATCCATTGAGTAGACTTTGGCTCTTTTAATCAAAGAGTAAAATGAAATCTATTTTGTTGAGAAAGAGACCTGTTACCTTTCATATATCGTTAGGTGAATTTTCACTTAAGTATTTTTTAATACATCTTTATTACATAAGTGTACACAAAAAATTCTCATTCATGCACAGTGGACAGGAAACAGGTGCTCTCTTTAATTACATATTCAGATGAGGTACTCATCCACCACATAGAGAATATATTTGTCTCCCTGCTGTTACAATTCCTTTGAGAGGCATCTATTGGTTCCTTTGAATTTCTAACAACTATTTCTGGTCACTGATGGAAACACAGCAATTATGGGGAAAAAACATTAATTGATCAGCTATTGTCTTAACAGATTCATTCTAATTCGCCTTGGTGGCTGAATGTGATCCACAGAGCAATAGAATTTGCTATTGAGGAGGAGCTCGTTCAGCGGGTGCGAAATGAAATAACCTGCAACTACAAGCAACAAACTGACAAACTTTCTATGTCAGAAAAGTAAGAAAATAGTATAAAATAATATAACCATAAACACAATAAACATGTAGATTTTACATATTAGGAGTACATTTCAAACAAAAAGAATAGGTATAAATATAAAGCATAAACCTTTCTTCTATATGCCACCCTTTTTTGTCTTTTAAACTTTTTCTCTTTTCAGTGCTTTTTTCCCCCCTTTAATCTACTAAAAGTATTTTCTTTGTATCTTTCTTGACATACCTAAAGCTAACTTTAAGCACATTTTTTAATAAACCTTCAGAGAATTTTGTCCCTGTGGTAAGGTATTCATCTTCCTATGTGAATCATTCCCTGCAAACTAATAATCATAGTGCCGCAGTGACCCAAGTTTTTTGGAGCGTTACCTTCTCTCTCTTCCTGTCTTTGTTCTCATCAGTACTCACCTTTTTCCTTTGGAGTCTTCATAAATAAGTTGGATTATGTGTTTGATGTATTAAATGGTGAATAATTTTTCCTGAAGACCAAGTTTACTCCTTCTCAAAAATATGCTCCATGGTTTAACAAACCACAGGAATGTCTTTTATCGTGTGGGAAATTTAGGTGTTGTGGCAGAACTTTGAATTCTAGGTAGGAGGGAGAGAGGATCACAGTTGGCATACATACTAGTTTTTAGTGAAAAATTGAGCATAAGAATATCTTTGAAATGTTTTTAAGGGGCCTCCCTGATGGCACAAGGCATTAAGCACAGCTCTGTGAAGCTATCCACAGCATTTGTAGCACGAATTCAATCCCTGGCCGGCCAGGGAGGTGACCCACGTGGTGCAGCAGATCTCTCCTGTCTCACCCACTGCTTCCCTCAGCAATGTATTTCAGTAGATCTGCTTGTTCTGCTCCCCAGTCTGTTTCTGGTGGGGACAGAGTGTTGTCTTCTCTCACCCCCTGCACCTCTGACCTGTACCCCAGTTCATGTATGCATAAATATTTTTTAAAAAAAAAAATGTTTTTAAACTTCTCCAAGTTTTTCCAGAGCTACTAAAATCTTAATGAGATGTACAGCATAACTCATTTGTCATTAACTTGGATGTACTTTATTAGAATCATCTTTTTCACATGAAGAACCTTATAGGCTTCTTATTTATGAGATACATGCAGTATATTATCCCCTTAGGTACACTTTTTCCCTATTAAACCCAAGGGCCACTCTGCCAGGACTTGTCACTTAAGTCTTGACTCATTTTTTCCAGTTTTAAAGCTACATCCCAATATGTTCTGCCAACATTGTAGATAAGAAAATATTTAAAATCTTGAATTTTTTTAAATCACACAGAAACTACTTAAGAGTTGCATTTCCCCATATTAGAACATATGCCTTGTTCAGTGTTTTGAGGTACCAGAGCTGAAAAAATGTCTCCAATAGGAAACAAGATTTACAATTTGTTAACACAGACATTCAACATAAATAGAAAGTGAGAAGATACATTTTAAAATGTAAGTTAATATTTGTTACATATATACATATATCATTTTAACGCTGCTAGTATTTCTTTACTTAGATTTTTTTCTTAAATTGATGTCTCAAAAGCCAAAGCACTCGTGTGCTTGTTAATGATTCTTGGGAAAGGATATGCAGCTTAGTTATTAAGAGCACAGATGGGCACTTGAGTCACACTGTCTTTTGTTCATACTCTTGTGTTTATGAACTGTTTATTAATTCTGATTTTGAGAAAGCTGTGTAGCACCCTGTACCTTTTTTCATATACAAAACCACAGCATATTGAGGATTAGTAAATTAATTTTTGTAAGTGCTTTTATAGTACCTCTTCCATTTAGTATGGTGTTTACAAGCTACCTGTTGTTGTTTTTTTCCGTTGGCATTTACAGACCCTGCAAGGTAGAACATTGTTAAGACTTATTAAATGCTAATCTGTGGTATTTTTCAGTCACATGGCTCGGACCTGTGTTAGTGGAGACAATTTTTCCAAAGCTACTTCTTCCTCTTAGTTCAAAAGTTAATTTTTGAAGAATAATTTAAATTACTAAAAAATTAAAAGTAAAACTTTATCTTCTTTTTGTGAATAATACTGTTGGCTCACCTAATTCTGTTCATTATCTCTATTCAAATTCCTTTAGAAATAATTAAGCAATTGCTAATTGTTGCAGTTGAGCAGTACAGAATAGAAAATTCCGTGTCTATTACATGCTTTTTAAAAAGATGTATTCCTTACCTATAAAAGTTAGCTTAATGATAAGATCCATGAATAATTTGAGAATGAGTATGTATAATAATTGAACAAATACTACACTAAAATTAATGATATAGTCAATACACTCCATGAACAGAAAGGTACAGGTAAGTGTTATAAAATACCGGGGAAGCCTTCAGGAACAATTTGGAGAGGAGGAACTATAACACTTCAGGAAGGAAAGGGATATACTTATATTTCAAAAGCAAACAAATCTTTTCTGTATTTTTCCATTTCCTTATTTCTTCTAGGATTTCTTTTTTTTTTAATAAACCAATAGGCACATGCACATGTGTGCATTTCTTTTTTTTTTTTAGCTCATTTCATTCCATTTATGAGAACAGCTAAGAGCATTGTGTTTGGTTTAACACCTCACTACCATACATAATAACTTTGTAACATTAGTTAAATTATTCTAATTCATTAAGCTTCATGAATAACATCACAACAGTATCTATTGTGATTATACACGGAGTGTTTGGCATAGTACCTGGCATATAGTGATGCTTTAAAACCCACGCTTGTGTGTATGTGTGAGAGTGTGTGTGTGTGTGTGTGTATACATGCATGCACACAGAGTTACCTTCAAGGATTATATGTTGACAATTTTTTTTCCTCAACTTTGTCTCTATTTTCCATCCTGTAGTCACCTCTCCACATAAAGCAGGAATGTCAGGAGGGACTTCCCTGCTCAGTCAGCATTAAAAAGAGAGAATGTGGCAGTCCTGATCTTTCAAAGACATCTGACACACAGACATGGCTTTTGCATAGTCTTTTTCAATTGCCTGAGGCCAGAAGCAATCAGACATTGGCATACTATAGTTAGACAACCCAAACCAATTTTTGATTTGAAGAAATTAAACTGCTACTCTTTTCTTTGTATTGTGTGTGGTGCTGGTGATGGGAATCAGGTTCCGGGACTGCAGAGGTCTTCAGTTCTTACTTACAACACAAATGGAAGATCTAAATAAATTCCAGAAGCTATTAAGAGCAGCTGTAAAAAACCTGGAGGGACCTCCATCTCGGAATGTTATTGAGTCTGCAACAATTTGCCACCTCCGGCCAGCCAGACTTCCACTCAACTGGTAGGTAATAAGAGAAAAAAATGGCGTCATTCCACTAAGTTAAATTTCTTCTTAGAGAAGAAGGGATGGCTCATATAATAAAACTTTTCATTTAATTTCAGATAGGAAGTAGCAAAAACGATGTGTTGTTAATCTAAAGGACCACATACTAAATCATATTTTTTCCTAAAATGACATATTGTAAAGGAAAAAGTGAAGTATAAAAATACTAAGCCTCTTGTAGAAATTGCCTGATTACTGGCTGTGTTTGTGAATATTTCTCTAATAATTTCTTCTTTTCCAGCTGTGTCTTTTGTAAGGCTGATGAATTATTCACAGAGTATGAATCGAAGTTATTTTCTCAAACGTAAGTTTTCATATTACTTCTTATCAGGAAAATGAAATACTTTCTAAGATTTGGTGTTTTAATTTTATTAGTCTATATTTTTCCTTACAATGACCTTTCTTATGTATTGTCTTTTATTAAATCAGCTCATTAAACTTGGGTATTTCGTCTTTGAATTGTTCAGTTTCATGTATACAGAAGTTAATCCACATGCTCATGTCATACAGTAATTTGTAATTGAGAGACAATTTAGGGGAGTGACAGACTCTTGAAACCAACAAACTTGAACTCAAATCCCTAATAACTATTAAGGGCAAATTATTTCTAAACCTCATATCCTCATTTACAAAATGAAGATAACATATACCTCATTGTATTTTTATGAATACATGATAAAATGCACATGATGGTTAGCACAGTGATTGGTACCTGGTAAGTATCCTATAAAATGTTAGCTTTCATTATTAGTACACTTTCTCAAACATAAATTTGAAGTCTTCATTCTTATATTGGGAATTATTTTGTGAGTGCATATGACCATGGCATTAGCAAAATTTTGCCTATTTTAAAAACACGGAAACTCATAAAAAGCTAGTAAGTTCTCATTACCTTGAAAAAAGAGGCATTGATTTGCAGTGTACTTTTTAATCATCTTTTGCTTGTTTGTTTTGTTTTCATGGTTATTGGTAGTAGTCTGTGTTTTATATTGTTTTAATTTTCAGAGGAAAAGGTATAACTATTTCTTATTATGCCACATTGCTTTCAGGAAACACTGGTCAAACTTATGATGCCTCAAGCATTTTCGTAATTGCTTACATTCTTCCCAGAGACTTGTAAGCATGATTTTTATAGGCATGTTATTAAAATTTATTGGTAAAATTTTATTATTAACCTTGTTTTCCTATTAACTCTGCCAAGAAGACTTTAACAATTCTTATCACTCACCGATCGTGACTGTTGTTTTTGTCTTGTATGTCTTCAGAGTCAAAGGCCAGACTGCAATATTTGAGGAGATGATAGAAGATGAAGAAGGGCTAGTTGATGATCGAATTCCTACCACAAGCCGGGGTCTGTGGGCTATAAGTGAGACTGAGCGATCAATGAAAGCTATCCTATCATTTGCAAAATCCCATAGATTTGATGCTGAATTCATTGATGAAGGAAGTGCTTCCATGGATCTCTTTGAAGCATGGAAGAAGGAATATAAGGTACTGTATTTTACAACTTCGTTCTCATATTAAAAAGTTATCCTCCTTTACATTAATTTTAATTGCAGCCTTTTTCTCTCTCCACTTTTTAAAAATTTGCTTTAGAGACTTGCAGTGTCAGTTTCTCTTTCCCTAAAATATAATGATTGTTATGAAGAATAATAAACATTTAATGAAAATTATCAGTTTTAAGAGCACACTGAAGACTTTTGACCAAGGCACATCTTGGTGGCTTTAACCAATTTTAAATATGTGCTTTATTGCTGCCATTGTCTTTTCTGTTCCCTCCAGTTGCTTCATGAATATTGGATGGCTCTGAGGAACCGTGTATCTGCTGTTGATGAACTTGCAATGGCTACAGAACGACTAAGAGTACGTCATCCTAAGGAGCCAAAGCCCAATCCACCCGTTCTTCATATCATTGAACCACATGAGGTAATGGCAAGGAAATCACAGAAGAGCACAGCACATAGATGGCGCAGAGATCTGCGAGGCCTAGATAAAAGAGTCCCAGTAGTGATCTCTTCTATACATATCTGTTTAATCTCTACTCTTAGCTTGGACCCATTAAGTTGTTCGATTTTGTTGGTCAAAATTGAACAAAAATAGCAATTTCATATCTAATACATGCTTAGCACTTTAAGATTTTGGTATGTTCTTTGTTTTTCTCCAAATTGCATATACTCTGTTTTTGACCACTTTCTATATACCAAAATCTAAAGAAATTCTCAGTCTATTTTTTTTTTTTTTTTTGGTGGGACCCTCGCCAGCAGGCGGGGAACAAACCCGTGCTGCAGAGGCTGCAGGCAGCCTCGCAGCCCAGCGCTCAACCACTGTACCATCAGGGGAGGCCGCTTGGTCAATTTTTAACACCTATGTCATAGTACCTCAGCTTTTTTAGAACTAGAAAAATCTTCCTTAAGAAAACTAAAAACTTTCTTTTGCATTGTTTTCCTTTGCTGATGCGCATATATTGACAAGTTATCTTCAGAAGTCTATCAGGATAAAAAAAAAAACTCCACTAAGCTTTTCTCTTCCACAGTAAAATATTGTTTTCTCTATAATTTATTTTCATTCCTTGTATATGTTTAATCTTATAAATCTTTCTCCTATAAAGCTAGGAGACTGAAACTTTAAAAATCTGAATATACTTTTTAAATACTATCTCCTAAATACAAATTCTCAGTAAGTTCTTCTGAAAACAGATTTCTTTTTTTTGTACTCCTTTTCATTCAACTGTATTTTATTGGAGTGAGGCGACATGAGAGTCAGACAGAGATTTCTTCCTTATATTTCATAAAGTGATTCTGGGCAAAGTAGCATACCATTTTGATTTTCTTTATCCCAAGGGTGTATTAATAAAAAATGGTGCATAAATAGAATTTGGGTTGATTTTTATCTCACTTCAAATGTGTAAAATAAGCTTCCTATTTAAACAATTCCATATTAAATTTTACTATAAAACAAGAAATATTTCTTCTTGAAATATATTATCTGGTATCAATTTTGCAAATTTGAGTTTTCATATGTAAATAGGTTTTCTTAAAATAGGAAACATTTTTATTAACGAGGAAGAATTGTGCATGTTTAATATAATTTTGCCATTTTTCTGAGAGAATAAATTGTTTTGTTTTGGTTTTTAGGTAGAACAAAATCGCATAAAACTGCTAAATGACAAAGCCGTTGCTACATCACAGCTTCAGAAAAAACTTGGGCAGCTTCTTTACCTAACTAATTTGGAAAAGGTATTGTTTTTAAAAGATGCTACTTTTTCCCTATGCTATCTGATCAGTAAACCATCATGACTCTTCCCAAAGATGATGATATCTTCAAATGTTACACAGATTATATAAAGGATATGTACTGTATAGCATAAAACAGTGTAAAAAGTTGTACTTTAAAGCCTTAAATACTGGAAATACTACAATCTGCCTCTAGGCAAGTATTACAGTAAATGACTTACATGCATTCAGTAATGTAACATAGCTTTTTGTTATTTGAAATGTAAAATGTGGGGCCTCCCCTGGTGGCGCAGCAGTTGAGCGCTGGGCTATGAAGCTGCCCGCAGCTTCTGCAGCGCCGGTTCGATCCCCGGCTGCCAGGTGAGGGTCCCACATGGCGCGCAGACCTCTCCTGCCGCCCGCTGCTCCCCTTAGCAGTGTACTTCGTCACTATGTTCTGCTCTCTGCTCTGGTGAATTCTCTCACCCTCCCGCACTTCTCACTGTACCCAGTGCTTGTATAAATAAATAAATAAATAATTTTTAAAAAGGTAGTTAAAAAATTAAAAAAAAAAGAAATGTAAAATGTGTTTAGAAAGCTACTAAATTAGAAGACATGGTAATGAATGGTGTAATGTAATCTATGACACATTTTTTGACTAGTGAGCTGTTGGAGGACACCCCACGTAGTGAGCAGAAGGGCCTTGACCCGAGTCCCTAAGGCATATGAAAACACATGCGTCTTGGAGGAAAATCTCTGGGTGACAGGACTTGGTGTTGAGAGCCTGGAAGTGACCTGCGTACATCTCCACAGTTTGAGAACAACAAAGATAATGAGCAGACTTCCCAGGCTCTGGCTAGGGGGCGATAAGATTAAGTGCGTGAGAACTAACCACCTGGTACCCTACTGTCTGAAGTAAATAAATAATAGTAAGAAAATAGACTAATCACTCATACATGTTATCATTATATGGTATTACACCTGCTGCAATTAAAATAAGTATATAATGAGCACCAAGACAATAAAGATTTACTGCATGCTAGACATGACAGTCCCCCATGTCTGATTTCCCTCACCGTCGTGTCCCAGGTCTCGGACTCACTAGAAGTCCACAGTGAGCTAAGTATTATATTGGACATTAATGAATATAATTCCATTTTACTGTAAGAACAAGTGGTAGTTGGCACGAGTACCCTATCAGAACAAGATATAATAGATTTATGATTAGATGTGTGACTGCTTTTGCACTACAATAGCAGAGATGAGTAGTTGCAAAATATTTGCAGTCAGGCTTCTTATGGAAAAAATACTAATCCTTTAAATAAATTAGAAGAGACATTATGCATTATGGTAGGTTGTTTACAAAATACTGCAGTCATATGCTTCCACGGTGATTCTGGACTTGGTCATATGACTTGATTGTGCCTTGTGACACAGGCAAAGACCTAGAAAGTCCATGTATATTCAGTTTTTCCAACTCGTTGCGCTTTGCAGTTCTGACACTATGTGAAGAAGCCTAGATTATCCGAATCATCTAGCCCCAGCAAAGTCAACCTAACCCCAAATTATCTAAGTGACCTGTAACGTCATGAAAAATAAATCTTGGTTTTAGACCATATGTTTTTAGGTGATTTGTTATATGTTTTTTGAAACAAACAGGAAAAGAACAATTTGGTTCAACTTTTTCACTTGCCTGAATACTTATATTTTAGTTAATGGAGTTGTCTCAAGCCCTTAGAGTTGCTGAATTCATGTTTTGTTCTGTTTTTTTCACTACTTGAAAAAAATCAAAGAATCATCAAAAACAATTTTTTCAGTATGACTATTTGGTTAAACCACTGACTTAAAAACTTTAGTGATCTATGTATCTAATTTACTTTTTCCCTTTATGTCTTAAAATCTCTCCATCAGATAACTTTTTGAAGCTCTTTCAGTTTTTGAAGTAGTTTTAAGGAGATTTTGAAAAGCTGTTATACTTCAATATAATTTCCAGGCATAAATACACCTTAAATCAATAACATTGCTGCATTCTAATTATTTGCTTTGCCTTGCAAAGGACACTGAGAATAAACTACTGTTAATAAGGAGCTATGTAAATAAATGCTACCTCATCCCGTGTCTGTAATCTCATGCCAAGTAGACCCGCAGCATACCTATTTTGTTACAAATACTGTACTTATAATTTTGCCTTTTTTGATAACCACAAATACAGTAATATAATTTTAATTGTAGTAAAAATTGTCTTGTTCACTCCTTGAATAAATGCTCGTAAACCCCCAGAGTGATAGTATTAAGTAATATATAAATTATTAGCTCATCTTTATTAGGTTATTTAAATTGCAGTCACCAGCATTTACTTCTATAAATGAGTTGTAAAACACGTATCAGTTTTTAAATTTTAACTAATATATCTATTAATTCTTTTTTGGATAGTCTCAAGATAAAACGTCAGGAGGTATTAACCCAGAACCTTGTCCAATCTGTGCTCGGCAACTGGGAAAACAGGTGAAAATATCCTAAACTTCTCTTGCATTTGTTATGTTCTTTATAATTTTCAAAGACTTCTATGTGCAAATACTCTCTCCTCTCTCCCCTCTCTCTATACCCCTACACCCCAGCAACTCCTCAACTTATAATTTAGAAAATCTGTCATTTGTTCACCTGTTTGGGTTAACTAACTACCTGTCACTCCCATGCTCTGGTGCCGCGTGTCTCTAGCTTTGTCTCCATTGCAGATGGAGGCGGATCTGTCTTTTTGTTTAGCTTGTCCATCCTGAGCTCTTACAATACACAAAACTCCTCTCAACCAATGAACATCTTCATGCCTGATGGCTCTGGAGGTTCACAGGGTCCAGAAGACTGCTGCTTTTTGTCTACAAAAATAAACACAAGTGAAACAGCACCTTAGTTTTACTATAGCCTCAAGTCCTGAGATCTGGCACAGATCCTTGTGAATAGAGGTGCTGCTGCTAGAGAACAATATGAACAGCATCAGCCAATAAATCCCAAATAACCCTTTCCCCTCCTTAAGAATTGTTTTAAGACCAAGCTCATTTTTCTCTTCCTTTAGTGCTAGTTTTTCCCCAAGGTACTTCTCAGTCCATCCTGCAACTCCTCAGATTTTGCAGTAATAGTTTTTTTAACCAGATGATAAAGCGTAAATAATTTGCATAAGATGATAGGGCTTTTAGAACAAACACCTAGCCTAAATCTAATGTTCTTTTTCCCCTCATTGCAAAAGAGGGGGAAGTTTCCATGATATGCTCCAGAGATTCAGGACTATTGTACTTTTCATGAAATAGCACAAGGAATTTTCAAAAATACCCTTTTATTTATTTATCTGGGGGAGAGAGTTACTGTATCTAGAACCATTTTAAAATAAATCTAAGCTACAAGCCCATTCATCTTCTGTATAATTAATGCTTTAATATGTGAATATGTAGACCTGCTTAGTAAGTTGTGTGGTGTATATTGAGTTTATCATCTCTATACCAGTATTGCTTTAAGTTCCTCTATTGTATCTGGCATTAGAATGTTAAAGTAGTAACTTGCTTTTTCCCAAATACTCTAGTGAGAACACCCATTTCTTGCAAATTAATGGTGACTGAATGGCACTGTTACACTCACTGTTAGGGTGAGCAGAACAAAGGCTATGAAAGCTTACTCTGGTTGGACTAAAAAGCAGTTAAATAAAAAAGTTACAATTTAACTTTTATGACTTAAAGGGTATTAATATCATGAAATATTGACAAAGTGAAATTATTATACCTTTCTATTTTTAATAGATTTATAGGTTTGAAACCATCTTTGATGCATTTGACTGAGGTGTGTTCTCTCTTTTCTTTTTAGTGGGCAGTACTGACATGTGGTCACTGTTTCTGTAATGAATGCATTTCAATTATTATCGAACAATACAGCGTGGGGTCTCACAGAAGCTCCATCAAGTGTGCCATCTGCCGCCAGACCACATCTCACAAAGAAATATCATATGTCTTCACCTCAGAGAAAGCCAGCCAAGAAGAGGACATCCCTGTGAAGGTAAAGTAGGTTAAGAACAGGTAGAAGCTTAGACAGTGCAATATGATAGGAATTTGTATCTTAAAATGAGAGCATCAAAATCAGAACAAGACTGGCACAGTGAATATGCGGAAACACTGTTATCTATATGCCTGTAGACAGCCTCAGCTTTGCCAAAAACTCTTTGTCAGAGGAGCACAAAAACGCTTTTTCAAACTGGTGAACAAAGCCATCCCCCCTCTGGCAAAAGTAACATTGTAGACCTCTAGATTATCTTCTAGAGATTTATTTAAAAACTTTTTCCCCCCACTCTTTTATTCAGCCCCTAGGAAATAAATAATATACCCAAAACAACGGGAGGAAGAAAATGGATTTTTTACTAAAGTTAGTGATGGGAAAATGTTTTTAAATAGCATGGATGGATATTTTAGGATACAGCCCAAATTTTGTTTTATCTACCTAATTTTTTCTTAGGCTTCATTGACAATTTTAAGTTACTGTATGTTTAAATCCAAAAAGGATCTGTAATTGAACTTTGTACCTGAGGGGTATTTATTTAATGAAAAGTTTTCACTAGACATTTTTCTCTTTCTTTTACTTAAATATGTTTATTTTTGTTCGTTATCAACTTAGACAAAGGACAAATCAGTATGTGAAAATAGTAGGAAATAAATCAGAAGGAAGAGTTGAGAGAATGGAGGGGCTATTTCTAAAGCAAGAAGTAGTAGATCTTTTTCATTAGTTCCTTATCTTTCTGGGGATGATGCTCTCCACTTATTTTTAAGGCCTTTATTTTGTAACTTTAACTGCAAGTTGAAACTGCTGGAAATAAGGCAGTTTTTAGGATACCCTGCCTCCTGAGAAAACTATAGTTGAGTTAAATACTATCTAATTGCTGTTTATTGCACTGTTATTTGAGTAAAAACTGAAAATATCAGTCACATTGCTTTCTAGTGTGTTGAGATCAAGTAAATTCCAATGTTGGAATGAACTTTGATTCATGAATCCTGTATACATTTATTGGACACAGGCTGTATGCCGGGCAGTATGCTGGACCTTACACATACAGCATACACTAATAAATCGAACAGACACAATTGCACTCCCCTTCTGAGTTTTAAAGTTTGATGGGGGGAAGGTGTCTGAGTTGGTGGGAAGCACAGACATTAGATAATAAATAAAATATAATATAAATTTATAAATTTTAATAAGCACTACAGAAGAAAACAGGGATTTTCTGAGGGAATGATAACTAAGCAGGTATCTAAATGATCACTACCCTAAGGTGTGTGACTGGAAGTGCCTTGTGAGGAGGAGGCTGCTGGAAAGAGAAAAGAAACAGAACTGTATACATGGAAAGGTCTGAGACAAGAAGAAGCTCAGATGAAGTGGGTGGCTACAGTTTAGAAAGCACAAAGGAGAATGGAATGAAATGAATCTAGAAACTTAAGAGGCTTCAGATGTTAACAGACCAGCTTAAGATTCAAAAACATAGAAGTATTGTGATCAGTTTTGAATTTGTAAAACAACCCTCTTGCTGTAGTATGGAAATTAGGTTAGCAGGAATAGAAAAGAATAGAGTCAAAAAAAACTTGAAGAGATCTGTTCAGGAACTACAGTAGTGATGATGGCTTGACTAGGTTGGTGGTAGTTAGATAGACGGTAGTGGACATATTCAAGAGATATTTTGACTGGAGTTGATCAGGAAGATAGAATGTCAGAGGGTTTGATGAAGAAAGATTTCTTACATGACCCCCTTGTTTATGATAATAAAAATCAGGTGCATAATGAAACAGTTACTGATAGAAGGTATTTGGAAGAGGAGGTCATTTAGACATACTGTATTTGAAATAAGTAAAACATGCGTGTAGAACTAGCAAAGTATGGATAGGCGGAACTGGAGATCTAAAATTTATTGCTGTAAGTGATCTTGGAAGTGGTGAGGGTAAGTGAGATTACCTAAGGAAAGACAGAGTTTAGTTGCAGATCGGGTCTGGCAAATTCCATATTTGGTTTAAGGTTAAATAAAGGGAAAGAAGTTGAAAAAGGAGTCAAAGTAGGAACCAGTATAGACATAAGTAGTCCAGGAGAGTATGTGCTATCAACAGAGGCCACAGAAAATCTACCCCAATGAGGATGCAAATGTTAACTGTATCCAGTAGTACTGAAGAGGACTCAGTTACAGTATGGACTAACTTGGCTAATGAAGTCATTGGTGAATTTAGAAGGAGCTCTTTCAGTGGAAATGTAGAAGCAAAAAGTAGGTTGCAAGTGAATGAGGAAATGAACAAGAATGAATAAGTAGAGAAAATGCCCATTTCATAAATTTAACTGTGTAGTAGAAAATTGAGATTTGTAGCCAAAAGGAAATAGGAAGTATAGAAAGACTTTGTGTTGAGGTTTTATTTATTTATTAAAGATTTATTTATTTATACGAGAACTGGAGTACAGGCTAGATTCATGGGAGGGTGAGAGGATTCACCAGAGACAGAGCGGGGAACAGAACAGGCAGACTGATGAAATACACTGCTGAGGGGAGAAGCGGGCATGACAGGAGAGGTCTGAAGTGCCATGTGGGACCCTCGCCAGTCAGCCGGGATCAAACTGGCACTGCAGAGGCTGTGGACAGCTTCACAGCACTGCGCTCAACCACCTGCGCCACCAGGAGAGGCCCTTTATTTGTTTTTTTAAGAGAAAAAATTTTGAGCAAGCTTAATCTCCAGCAATGGATAGATTGAAGGTACAGGAGAAAATGAAAGTCTATAACGAAAATTTCTTTAAAAAACAAAATGCTGATGTATAGATCTCTTTGAAATCAATTGTAGGTTGAACTTTTGAGCAAAGAAGCTATAAGGGTAGGTGTCCTTATGAAGAATGTGAGATCTTAATAGTCATTTCAGAGAAGACCGGTATTGAGTATTCCAGATGTGATGATAGAAGTGGGTGACCCAAGTAATTGGAGGAGAAAAAGTATAGAAAATGAAACAGTAAGACCTAAATGTTGACTGGGCTGTCAGGCAGAGAGTGTGTAACATTCAGAGTTGAAGTGTAGAGTTAAAGTTTGTGAGTTAGGCACCAAAAGCCTTTAATGGATGAAAGGTAGTGTTCAGTAAATAGATGATAACAGAGGGTAGAGGGCTTCATGAGACTTGAAAGAATGGAAATAAGTACAAAAATGAGAAATAATGATCAGAAGCCTGCATTAGTATAACAGAAGATACCAATGCTCATAGTACAGTGAATATGAGAGAATGAACCTCTCCGCTTAAGAGCACAACTGAAAAGGAGTATTGCCGTGGATAGCCAGGTGCTGATTAAATCAAAGAAGTGGAGAGCAGTATTTCCACAATAAAAAAAGTAAGTTAATGAATCTTAAAGCACTACTTCAAGGTTAGAAGAAAGAGAAAATGGAAGGGTGAGTGAACTAGAAGGAACTGCAGAGAATATGAGAATAAAGTTGGTGGTTAATTGATGAGAGGATCATGACTTTAGGGGTCATGTAGTCCTGCTCCCTCTGTGAATCCCTGTATAAATGGGTAATTTTAAGGCAAGTGCCAAAGAGTTGCTAGTGAAGGGGAAGAGGATTGACCAAAGGTACATGACCAGCCCTGAGGCATTTGATGGTTAAGCTTTAGCCTACTTGCCACACAAGAGCCCCTTCCCCCATTCCCACTGCTGCAGCTTTGTCTCCCTTTCCTTCCCATTGAAGTAGTCTTTTGTAGCCCTTTCTTCATTCTTTTCTCTCTCCTTCTGGCCTCAGGGACCGCAAAGGGTCACAGGTGGCATAGATGGTTAAGAAGGGCTGCTGACCCTTAGAAGAAAGCAGACATCCCAGTATGAGGAGCAAGTCAGGAAGAACTGCTGTGTCAGGCTTCGTGCAGTGAGGTTTAGGAAGTGATTGCTTTAGCTACCAGTAAGCAGCACAGCCTCTATGAAACTGAGTCACTGAGTCCATCAAACCCAAACACCTGTTCATTTTATGGCAGCTTTCCTAGATCCCCAGGACAGTTACATTTGATGTCCTCTGGGGACAGAGAAATCATTGTACAAAAACTGTTGATTATACTCTGACTTCTTCCTGTCTTTTATGGATATTGATGAGCACAAGAATAAATTGAAGCATCTTAAAAAAATTATGATTACAGTATTTGTTGAAGTTCTCTTGTCAGTGATGCATATATAGTTGCATATCCTTTTTATTAAACTGTGTCTGAATATTGCACCTATTATGCAAGCAGGTTTTTTCCCTCTTCCACATTCTCACATTGCTTCTTGCCACATTTGCTTTTGCTTCTCGCTCCCTTTTCTGTCACCATTTTATGTCTGCCACTTCTGCCTTCTGCTGCCTGTCCCCTTTTCTGACTTCTGTCACATTTCTACCCGACTGTCTGCCACCTTCCTGAAACATCTGCTTGTTGTTTTCTCAGACTCACTGTACTCCTTTGACTCTCTGAAACAGTCCTCCTGAATGGGCATCATCCATCTTGGAGTTGAGGGCATGGTCATGTATAAGATAAAGATGTCTCCATGTCAACATTTAAGGCATTATTTTGTAATTTTAGAAATATTACACAGGCATTTCCTAAATCAAGGAATTTTTTTCCTTTTATTGTTGATTGTCAAATTTCTGCATTTTACTAAACAATCCTGAGAAGTAATTTTTATTTTATTAAAGGGCTTATAGTATCTGAAAGGTTTATTTCACTCTTAAGCTTTCATGCCCAGACTCTTAAACATAGCAAACAGTATAATATATATTAGACATCCTACTTAATCATCTAACTGACCTTATATTCTTGGAGACTATAAAAATAGTACCACGTAGTACAAGGTATTGTTTTTCTAATGGCATCATTTGGAGATAGGAGATTTTACAGTATAAGGAATCCTATTGATGGACCACAGAAATAAAATAAATATTGAAATCACCAGTGTTTCTTTTAGTGGATGTAGTTAAGATAAAGACTGTATCTACCCTACCAGCACTGTGGACAGTATTCCTAAATGACCCTTGGAACCTACTGATCATTTCACAAAGTACACAAAATTCCCCTTGCAAGTTCTGACAACTGCCAGGCCTTTTGGATGGTGAAGTAGGCCTCCTGGCAGAACATATGCCCCACGTGGCCTGTTCCCTGTGTCTTAAGTTTGGCTAGGTTTCATCCACAGCATTTTTACCAGTGGAAACCCTGACCCTATAATGGACAAAGTTCTTATGTCATAAGAAGATCTAACCAGGAGAAAATATAGATGAAATAGCTACAGTAAAACTGCACCCTCCGCTCCCATCCAACACACATGCATAACGGCTTCATCTTCTCAAACTTTTCAGTGTCTAATACTTGGACTACTTTTTAAAATAAAGACTTTTTCAAACCCCCATTCCTGTGAATTTCAATTCATTATATCTGGGATCTGGTCCAGGAATCTGCATTTTTAACAAACAAATCTGTTGTTAATAGGAATATACAGACTTTTTGTAGAGGGAAAACAAACTATTTCTACATTCAAACTCCTAAAGAAGCCCGGCAATACCAGGCTGTGTCTAAATCTATTGTGTGTGGAATCAGTTATTTCTCTTTCAATTTTTTTCAAAATTTTGTTGAATTAGTTCAGAGGTGCCTTGTGAAGTCTGTCTTATACTTTCTAAATATAATTAAAATAAACATCTGAGTGGAAAAACTGATTGCAAAATTCTGAGTGAGATTAAAATAAGTATAAAATAATGTGATAAACCCGCAAGTGATTAAATTTACTTCTCTAAATATTTTTATGTAAAATTCCTACATAAACATTTAACAGGTAAAATTAGAATGCAATTACATCTTTTTATTAGAGCATATCATGAGTAAATGTATTTACAATTGATAAAAAACAATTCTGTTCCCTAGCCCCGACAGCACTTGTAGTTGTGAGTTGCTCGTCTCCTATTAAAGTGAGCAATAGCTTGCAATAAATTGAATATGCAACAGAATTCTAAGACGTAAACTATAATTTATCTTTATGAAATTACCTTTATGAAAAAGCTCTACCTTGTGGAATGTAAATATCATTAGAATGTAAGAAGGACATTGCTCATGAGGTGGGGACTTTATTCACTTTTGTATCGGAGCATCTAAAACAATGCCTGACATGTAAGAGGTACTCATAGGTGAGTGGATGGATGGCTGATGGATGTATGGTAGGGTGGATGGATGGAGGGATAGATCGATTGATGGACAAACAGATAAACAGTTGTAAAAGCCTTTGGGTCCAAACAAATTTTTGTTGCATACTTTTTTTTTTTTTTTTTGCAATTACTAACTTATCTATTTGAAATCATTATACAGAGTTTTACAAGAGTAGGATACTATTTTTGTGGCCTAATGTACTTTTATTTCCCACTTGCCTAGGTAGAGTTTCCATTGAACTTATTCAAGTGACATGTGAGTGCTTGAAGAACCCAGCATCTGCCCTGGGCATACACTTTAAAAATATTCCTACTTCATGAGACCAATGATAAAAGCTGAATAACTGCACTAAATTATATCTGTCACTACCAACATGGGTTTTTAGAATGGTGAACAGGTGCAGACAGAAATAAAAAAATGTTAACTGATATTACTCAGCCGAAACTACTATGGGCAGCACAGACACATTCAGAGGGCTAGCTTTATTTCAACAGGGAAAGTCCAGAATAAAGTAATGCAAGTCAGAAAATACCAAGACAGGAAATAACTTTTTCTATACGGAAAGGAAGCATTCCAGTTATTTGCAAGTTACAAACTCAAAGTAACCTAGAGAATAGTCATACTTCATTAACACCTCGCACAGGCATAGTTTGCTATCCACATTTCTTCATTCTTCTCTCTTTTGCTTTTTTCTGTCATCCTTTCCAAACTTATCTACCCTTTCCACTTTGTTTTTCTGTTTTAACAAATTAATATTTCTTTTCTATAATAGTGATCACATTGACTAGTCTTCAGAAGCTGGTAGAATTGAGCCCAAGTTTGTTTATATATATTTTTATAGAAACAATCAAAAGATCATACACATATACAGTGCTTATTAAGATGATACAAAAAACCATTCATCTGAATTGCTTCTAGTCCAAACTAGCTGTTTAAATCATCCTTTTTTTGTTTTATATTTTGCAGCTTGCAGTGACATGTATGTATTTGGGAGAAAGAGAATGTTATCTTTTCATCTTTGTATATCCACTGCCTGATGTAGTTCTTGTTACTTAGGTGAACATTAAGTTTTTATTGAGTGAATAAGTGAGTGATTTCAGTAACTCAACATGAACTTACTTGAAATGTTAATGGAACTTGAGTGAAATGCAGAAGAATGTCTACCCTATATCTTTGTTCACTTTTACCGGCTCTGCTTTTTAGACCAACCATGGTCTTTTTATTATTTTGGGACTCTTGCTTTTCATTTGCAAGTACAAAAGCACAAGTTGAAAAGAGAAAAAAAAATATGAATAGGGGCCTAATGTGGTAGGAATCTGTTTTTCCAAAGACTAAAGCTTTATTTACTCTATAAATTAAGCTCACAGAGTTTACTGACTTTGTTAATCATGCCTATAACTACTGATGGATAAACGAAGACATAAGTGCTCAGCAACCTAGTGAGATGGCACAGCCCTCCAATTGCTGACTTCTTCTGAGATGGGTTCCAGGGATTTCATCGCAATACCTAACACAGAGCCACCTCCAGCCTGCTTTCTGTTAGACAGATCCCCATGTCTTTCATGATCTCTTGTTGAATGTCTGGCTTTTGTAAGAGAAAGCTAGAGATTAATTCAAGATTTGATTTGATCATAGTGAATGAAAAAACACATCAAACTTTTAAATTATTATCAAACATCTTTTATTTTGTTTATTCATTAGTTTTACGCAGTATGTTTAGGATCAAGAAACCTAAATGTAAATGTGAATTTTGTTCATTAAATAAACGGATTGGAGTGTATTCAGTTTACCAAGGACTATGCTCAGGACAGGATTTCACATTCCTTTCAAAGAGCATGATCGTTTCATGATCTCTGCAGCTCTTCAGAAATAACCAGACACTTCTGAGAATGACACTATATACCAACAACTGTTTTCAGAGCACTGCCTGCGAGGAAAATATGTACTGTTTTTGCTGGGAGGAAATTATGGACTGTACCATAATATTTAACATAAAGTAATCCCATAGCCAACACAAAGTTATTACAAAGTAGGTACTAAGAAGGTGTTTTAAATACTGTCATCACTAATAATTATGTAAAAAAATAATTATGTAATGTTAAATAACAAGTTACCTCAAGATTTAATCATTTTCATATAATAAAAATTACTTCTCACAATTTCTTTAGATGGAAATTTGGTATCCACTTTCATGAAATTGTGTGCAAAGAAGTAGCCATGTTGAACTGTTAACAGGTAAAAATTCTAGCATTTTTAGAGAGCAATTTGATAGGGAATCTAACAAATATCTAAAAAAAATTCTTTTAACCTTTGATAATTCGATTTTCATGTGCCTGTCCAACAAAAATATTTGCTCCTGTACCCAAAGCTATAAGTGCAAGTACAGTCATTGAAATATTTAAAATAGCAAAAAAGAATGAAAACTGTCTAAATGCATATTAAGCAAGTATTTGATATTTTTGTTCTCTAAATACTAAGCAGCCATGAAATGAAGTAAATATCAGTATAAATGTCTCATGTGAAAAGACTGCCAATATAACGTTAAAGAAATAGAACACAATATAAAACTTGTTTAAAAATATTTGTGGGGGTGTGAGTTTTCTTGGGGCTTCTAGAATGCACGGATGGTCTTAGAGGATGAATGCCAAATTCTTAGTGGTTTTCACAGAGTATAGGGCATAAAAAAATAGATTTAATTTTTTTAATCCTCTATACTTCTATCTCTATACTTTAATTTTTTTAATCCTCTATATTTCTGGGGATTTTTTGGTAATTTTTAAAAACTGTCAAGAAAGTTGTTGTGATATATTTAGCAAATAGGACAGAAATGTGATCCTTATCTGATTTCAGTCTTACTCTGTAATATACTGCCTATCTGTGTTACCTTTTTAGACAGTAATCTTTCATTGTCTGGAGCATTTTTTACCAAATTATGAATTCTTATTAAAACAGACTTACAGGGGCAGTGGATTTTCAACATAATGTCTTGTAATTTTAATTTTTGATAATTTAAATTCTTCAAGTAGTTTAAAACATGAAAGCCTTTGTCTTAAGAGACACTGCTGTCACACATTGGTCTGTCATACAGATTGTACATTTATTGGCTTTGTTTTCAGAAATCTTGCCAGCAGGCAGGCATGCTCAGACCAGGAGCTACAGATATATATGAGCTGCTACTTATTGCTCCATTGTTCTCATTATCCATAGCCACTACTGTCCATCTAGAAGAAAAGAATATTAAAATTATTTCACTCCCCCTGTAGCTTTCAAATAAACAGCTTTGCATTTCTAGACATCCTTATTTTATAGTGAAAAGTAACTGGACTGGGACCAAATGGTTCCAAACTCTGGCATTTGGACAATATCATGGACAGCTAACACTGAACTGGCCAAATTTTGATGAAAAGGAATGCTCTGGCCTTTTCCTTCATAGAGTTACTATGTTCTAGTTTGGAATGTTGCATATAAAAGTTGTCATACTTTCTTTTGAATGTTTAGTAAGAAGCCGCTTATAAAGGGAATGGTTCATAGTTATCCTGGTATTTCACTTGAAAATGAGACCTTGTTAGGAGCATGGATGTTTCTGTGTAAATTCTTTACTGACCAATTTATACTAATTTACTCTTGTTTGAGACATTTTTGCTCTTATATAAGGTAATTTTCAGACTATATATTTTTAATTTTCAATTATGATTGAAAGCCTGTCTATTTAGACACAAAGATAGACTCAGGATTTTATGATAATTTTAAAACTTTTCCCATAATTCTGGCTTGCTAACTTAAAACTAGTATAGCTCTCTTTCTTAATTTGTTTTTACTCTTTATCTTTGTATAAAAGTGATGGACTGTGTGTTAGGTGTGGAGGTGCATTTGAGCAAAAGAGCAGTGCTGCTGTGGGCAATATTTTACTTTTGAGCTAGATCTACCTCCGTGGGGGATAACCTGTGTCATTATAGCAGTCATATTTAACACCTCAGATAATGTTACGGAGCATCTACAATTTGTCATGAAAACGGTAAATACTATTTGTTTTCTTTAGTGATAGATATCATCCCTTCATAACATACAAGGAAAAAGACTTAGAAAAGTTAGAATCTCTATAACAAGTGACAAGCAAAATTGACAGTTGAGTGTAGCCTTGTCTGACTCAAAATTCTGAGCCCATAATCTCTGTCATACCACCTCCCGAGCATTCCAGGAGAAAAGTTTTCTCAATGGCAACTACAGAAAACATGCTGTATTTTCTCATTTTCTTTTTTTTTTATCTTTTTCATACTCTTGTGATAAAAATGCTTATGGAAAATGAAAAAAAGCTCTCAAGTTTATCTAGCTGTGAATAATCTGCCTCCATCCAAGTGGTCATCCCTAGACCTCTATCATTCTTTCTAATACCGTTGTAAGAAAGGATTATGCCTGGCTTGGGTCCTTTAGTGTGTGTTTACATGAAGTTTTGATTCCTTGTATTCTTAACATTTCATTTGTCATAATATCTGAGGTGAAAAGGTATTTTTGAACATAAATTCTGATTATCTAAGAAAAGTTTATTACTACAAAACCTAACCACTTAACCAGAAAATCCTATCTTCATGGTCATAGCACTGTATGGCTTTCTGCTGTGCTTTTATATTCAGTTCTCTCTGGGTATAAATTCTATGACTTCTACAGTTTGAGACTAAAGAAAATTTCAAGCAAATACAAAATATAAAAGGTCATCTAGAGGGGAGAGTTTTGGAGGCACAGTTAGAACAAAGAGAAAAAGGAAACACATTGGACTATCCTGGTGAAGTATCGGTGATTTGGTGGAAGGTACCCCATGGTGGCAATACCTGATGGGGAGGATCCTAATGTTTCCTTAAAAGAATGAATTGATTTTAAATGATAAAAAGTAACCCCTGGCATGTTATGCCCACCAATAAAACATTTATTGTTAAAGAAAAAGAAGGTAAGCCATATGCACCTGAGAATTTGTCTTGATTCACATATAATTTTGGTATAAGTGTTTCGTACTGGTTTTCCTTTCTACTGTTAACTAGATTTTATTTGGCAGTGATGTGTTTTCTTCTTTGTTTTCAAAGGGCAGTCATTCTACAAAAGTGGAAGCTGTGGTCAGAACTCTGATGAGAATCCAACGTAAAGATCCGGGGGCTAAAGCACTTGTTTTCTCAACAGTATGATCCACATTTTCATTCTCACTGTTAACTCAGATTGGCTTTTTTTGTCTCTAATCAGTGTCTATCTGAGAACTAATTTTTATTGTTCACCATAATGCAGTTGATGTTTAAAGTGACTGCTAGGTTTTTCCATGTTAGATTTGTTTTTCATGTCCATAGAATAGAATTATTGTCAGAGAAATCTCATGATGCTTCACAAGGTAATTCCTACAGCTACAATCATACTACTGTATTTTATTTAGGGAATTCCCTATAAGTAATTGTAATACAATTGTAAATTGTAATACATTTAATACATTGTAAAAATTGGAATCTGAAACCTTCAAAGTCTTGTTTCACAAATAAAATTGGTTAAGAAAAAGGAAATCTGCTGCATAAAGTATTGAGTAAAAGTTCTAGTTTCCATTTCTGAAAGATAAGTAACCATTAAACACCATGATTTATTTTCTATTCTGTTTATCTTAATTCCACCCTCAAAAACACTCAAGTTTCTTGCCCTATTTTCTTTTTTTGATTTAAATTTTATTTTTTATATTCCCCATACAATTACAACCCCCTTATTTTGACCCCAAGCCCTCCTTTCCCTGCCCCCCACCCCCCATAGAGTTTCTCTGGTTCATAGTTGTTTGTTGATTTTGATATTTTCTTTCTTATAGTTATTCTTTTTCCTGGTCCCTTATTTAAGTTTTCTAGATTCCTGCTATGAGTGAGACCATCCGGTATTTTTCTTTTTCTTTCCGTCTTGCCCTATTTTCAACCAGAATTTTATTTAAAAAAAAAAAAAACCTTCTAAAATAGAACTAAATAACTTCTGTAGTACTGCCTTTGAAGGTTTTGTTTTGTATTAGCTCTGAGATACAAAACTTACTCTGTTTTAGGTCCTTTACAATCTTTATGTGTAAGGTATGTATAAATTGTTTTCTTTTTGCTTTATGTGTTCTAGTGGCAAGATGTGTTAGATATTATTTCAAAAGCTCTCACTGATAACAACATGGAATTTGCACAAATCAGTCGTGTTAAAACATTTCAGGTATGTGAAGATGAGTTCATATGTGTTTTTTTGGAGTAGACTTAGTTGCAAATTGAAACTTCTGGGTTTGAGCTCTTGATTGATTATAAAATTAATATTCAAAAGTAAAGTAGGGAAAACAGTTATTTTTTGTCTATCAGTTACACCTGTCGTATACCTGTGATATCTTTTTTATTTTAAAGATTTATGTCTTGTGGTCCTTTTTTTAAGTATAAGGAAAGGTGACTTAGATGAATGAAGTGAGCCTCGTGCACTTATCGAGACACTGTATCAGGTATAACTGCTTGTAGTCAAATCGTCCTCACATCACATTCAACACAGTGACAGGTGCATACCTTAACATAAACACATAACAAACACCAAATGAAAATTTAGCAGATTCATGTCTCTTCTCTCATAGTCACTTTAATACATTGTAATACTTTCCTCTAAGCGCATGTAGTTTTTATTTGCATGTGTCATATATACGTATCTTACGATTCCACGATATAAAGAACAAATGAGCTTATGTGGCACATTTCTTCATAAACCAAGCAACAGATTTACATTTACCACTGGTAATTTTACATTTCATTTTCTTACATTTGACAGTAACCTGGGACCACTAGGTATCTTTTGTGTGCACTATAATGTACTACTTTTATTTACTTTTACAATACTACTTTTATTTTTAACTGATCCAGTTAAAATTCACATGTACCTTTCTTTTTTTTAGGAGAACCTCTCAGCATTTAAACATGATCCCCAGATCAATATTTTGCTGCTGCCCCTGCACACAGGGTCTAATGGATTAACGATCATCGAAGCCACTCATGTTCTCTTGGTTGAGCCCATATTGAACCCTGCCCATGAGCTCCAGGCCATAGGAAGGGTGCACCGAATTGGACAGACAAAGTAAGGACTAAAATTAACATTGGACACATTTGCTTCAGTTTCCCAAGATAGAAATCAGCATCAA